GGGCATGGTGTTCTTTCTCTCATCCAGAGTTTTAATTTCAGGAAAATGGAACTGTCTTCTAAGAGTTGATACTTTTCTTTCAGGTAAAAAGTATAGTAGTAATAAAAGTACTGAGGAGTCTGAAGTGACCTTGATATATACATAGATTAATTTTCATTAACACAGGTCTCCATCTGACTTGGTCTTTAACACCCAAAGGAAAAGTATAACCAAGATTATAAAGAGTAATATTAAATCAAAAGCTTGGCTAAATATAGAAAGGAGACAATTTAGCCAACTAGTACCTGTTGGAAACAAAATACTGTATTTATGATAGGTGGAGCAATGCCACCCAAAATATGGGATAGATTCTTGCCCATGGCCACAATCGCACTATTTATTGTGTTAAGAGATTCTGAGTTGTTTACTACTCACTGGTCAGCCCCAAATGGTACCCAGTGGCTCTGTGATAGAAGCCTATAGCCTTGGTTGCCTGCAGGATGGTTAAGAAGATAGACATTAGGATATTCATGGGCCCTAGGGTGCTGGAGTAAAACCATAGATCAACAAGCTAACCTCCTAGTCTTGAGACACCAATGAACCAGATCAGTTTTCCACTGATATGATCATCTTGTTGCTATCTTTATTTCTTAAGTAAAACTTGATGTAATGTATCACACTGAATCTCTTATTAACTATACACAAACAGCTCCAAATGACATTGCAGAGGGTAATTCTTGATTAAATTCAGAAGTAAAACTGATGAGAAAAGCAATCCTACAAAATCAAATGGCCCTAGATATTCCAACAGCAGCACAGGGTGGAACATGGGCCATTATCAAAACAGAATGTTGTGTGCACATTCTGGGCAACTCTGCAAATGAATCCTCTGTACTGCATGATCAACGTTCACATATCAATAAATATCACACTCTGCTAGTAGTGTTGATGACTGGTTGGCATCTTGGCTCCTTGGAACAATCTGATGGGGAAAACTCCTCATTTTTCTAGCTACGATCCTGGGCATTGGAATTCTTGTCTGTTATATGATTCACTGTCATTGTGGGCTAATGTCTTATATGTCCTTGCCCTCTTTTTCAGACTACTGAAAGATAATGGTTCTTCAAAAGATGGAACCTGATGGTCCTATGTCTCCTTACGATCAGCCAGGACTTTCAGCTAGGCAGGATCAATGCCCCTCCTCAATCTGAAGCAGTTACTGAAGACAGACCATGGGGCTTCTGTAATTCCTTAAGAATAAGGGACCAAAATCTTGTGTGTGTAAAGCAGGGTATGAGGTAAGATAGAAGAAATACAACTAGGCAGAAAGGATACAAAGAAAGTGAGATTTTAAATAGTGTACTTTAGAGAAAAACTGCAGCTTCAGAGCACAAGCCCAGTTGACTTTTTTTTTTCTTTTCCCGAAACAGCAAACTTGGGCAACTCTCATCTGCAAGTGGGTCCGCCCATTCCTTTTCTACCTAAAAATGTTCCTCTTTCATGCGTGAAGGGACCACTCTTGTGGGATTTTCCATATGAGTAGTCCATTATCTCACAGAGGCCATCCTCTCATACCCACTAAGACTAGGACAAGACTAAGACTATAGATTATTGAACTCCACAGAGTTTCAGCACCCAAAACACATAAAAAACCCCCAGCTCCCAACTACATTTGCCTTATATCTCTGAGCACCTGCACTCCACTCTTGAGTGCATCCTTTATCTCTATCTGTAACAAACCTGCTCATGTCTCTTAAAAAAAAGTATAGTGGGAATCATTTGTGACTGTGTGTGCTTCTTATTAATTTGATAAATTATTTAAGATAGTTTTTCCTATAGTATTAAAATATACAACACTTTTTCACTTCTTTTAATAGCTATGTGACTTAGGTTAGCAGAGCTGATTTCCATTTACTGCATCAAACACAACAATAACAGCAACAACAACAACACTAAAAACTCTCTCAGACCACCTACTTTCATAGATCAGATGGCTTCTCCAAGGTATTGGGCCACAACACCTCCCTGTGTCAGCCATAAAATGCGAATGATGTTCTTCTGCCAAAACCCCATCTTTGTGGAAGGGGGCACACAAGATAATTCATGGGGAAGTTTTTTGAATAATGTGAAAATCCCTCCAAATGAATGCTCCTTTAAATAAACCACTTTTAGATATAGACAAACATTAGGCAGACATACAACTCTGTTTGTGATATCTTAAAAGTAGTTTGTGAAGGAGTGTTTGAAGAGGGGAGAAAGATGAAAACATGAATTTGCATATATTGTGATCTTTAAAATTTAAAAATATATGACAAGACACAATTTGGGGAGGAAATGAGGTAACCTATTACTATAAGGCTCGATTTGGACCTGAGTCTCCCAATATTCAACCTGTCTGCCAGCAGAAGCATTGTTCTTAGCTCAGCACCAGGGATGCCCTCAGCAAACACAGGATGTCTTAAAAGAGATAAGATGGAACATGGACTCTCGATCTTACAAGCACCAGGACATCTAAAGACACCCAAGCATCTGCACCGGATGTGGATGTCACAAGGACTTTCCCCAGTGAGGCATGAAACATCCAGAGCACTTTGACTACTGAGGTTTACTAAGATCTTCCTGCCTAATGTCCTTTGCCGTCTTTCAAGCCCACTTCTCTTTGTTCCCTGCAGACGGCCTCTTTGCCCTCTGTCTACCTGTTCCCAGGCACAATCAGTTCCAGGCCCTGCTGCCTTTGCACAAGCTCACTGGTCTCAGCTGGTCTCCGCCTCGCTCTGTTCCTTACAATCACCATTACTTGTCTGTGGGACGTATAATTACGGGTGACTTTTAAATATAGTTTTGTATTTTCTAGTTTTATATGATAATCACACATTACTTTTTAATCAGAAAATAACCCAGCAGTGGTTGATAACTATGTATTATTTGGAATACGTGTGTTTACTAGGATATCATGAACAAGTTAGCTACTATTTTGAAATAGTTCTATGCAGATCATTAATTCACAGTGCACAAGAGATCATTAAAAGCCACTCCTGCACTGAGATTGTAAGGTTAAAGATTTCCTGTTTACTTAAGGTGGTAAGTGGGGTTTGGGCTTCAGAAAGTTGATCTCGTAAAAATTTAGCACAGAATGCTGGTTACCAGAGGCCAGAGACAGAGAGGAGTGGGGAAAGATGGGGAGAAGCTGGTCATTGGCTAAGTTAGGTTAGGTATGGGTAGGAAGTATTACTCAGCCATAAAAACAGATAAAAGTGAGACATAGATAGCTAAATGGATCAACCTTGAGAACATAATCATAAGTGAAATAAATCGGACACACATGTGTAAATATCACATTATCTTTCTGGTGTGAGAAACTAAAAACGTAAATAAGAACATAAATGTACGATAGATATTGTGAAATAAGAAGAAACTGTTCAAAAGGAAAAGGGAAACAAGGAGAAGCGGGGAGAGGAAAGATGGGAAAGAAAAAAATAAGAAGGATAAAATGAAAATCGTGCTTTTTGAACAAGGAAGGGAAGGGGGTTTGAAAAGAAGGGATGGGAATAGGAAAAATAAAGAAAACAGGAATCAAGATATATCCTGTAGAGATACAAATTCCCTGTAATGAATGTGGTCATTATGTATCCCCAAATTGTATCAATACACTTAAATTAAAAAAAGCAGTATGTTTACAGGTAACTACAATGTATTTTGCATTTCAAAAAGCTAGAGTAAAGGATTTTGAATGTTTTCACCAGAAAGAAATAATACATAAACTTTGAAGGAGATAGATATGTTTGACCTGATCTAAACATTATACAATGTATACATATATTGAAACACACATGATATTCCATTAACATGTACACTTTTATATTTTTGTGTCAATTTAAATAATTTTAAAATTTATGATTTCAGATATTATTTATGTCAATATTTGACGCTCATGATCTCTTTACAATAACATGTTGTCGCCACCTGCTGGCAATGGTGTGTTAGTAGGGTGGTCTGCACAGGTGAAATGATTTCCGTGAGATTGCAGAAACCGGCTCCTCCCTGCACCTAACCATCATTATATTGGGTAAGTTTGTTGGCTTACTGAGGCCTTTTCCCCTGAGAAGCCACACAGAATATAATTTTGTTTTCTTACACTATCCGTAAGTATGAACTTTAATGAATTAATTTTACATAGGAGGGCAACTAATGCACACAGAGGTCACACCATGTCCTCAAGGTCACATAGTTAGTGAAGGACAGCGCTGAGATACAAAGGCATAGAATGAGGACCCCTCTGCTGTTGTTTCCAAATGGGTGAAGAGCAACTGCAGTCAATTAAGAGTGGGGAGCACTGCTAACGGTGCAAATATTAAATGAGGAAGCGTGGAAAAAGAAACAAAACAATAAAAGGCAAATCAGGTATCACGGAATTTAACTCTCCCTCCGGGCTGCCTAGAAGTCCCAAGCAGATGACCCTAGAGGGAGCGCCGACCTCTGTATCTCACTCCCAGGCTTTCCCCACGATCAAATGACATCTGGGAATGAGATCAAATGGGAATGTGGAAGCTTTTTGTAATGTGCCTCCTGCTTTCCCAAATATGATGTCAGAATAAAATAGTGTCATTAGCAATGTAAAAACCCGAACTGTGTCTTTTATTTTTTTCCCTAGCAGACATATCATCTTTATGTTATGGCTGAAAATCTTGCCTTTGGTTTGGAAGAAGATAAATACACAACTACTTACTTAAATGCATTGTTTGCATTTTGATAAAAGTATGAAGATATGGTTCACTGCACTGCCCAATGCCTATTATTTAATAAGCTTAACGAATTCCAGGAAAATACTGCTTGTCCAGGAAAATACTGCTTGTCCAGGAAAATAAGTTCCCTCTCTGCTGTCAGAAAACAAGAGAATAAAAGTCTATTTGGCTTTGGCTGCCAGGAAATTTAATTTTGGGTCCAGTGGAGCCCATCTGTCCTGTCAGAAAGTGTGCTTTCCTTCGCCTCTCAGCACTCCTTTCCTGGTAGGCTTTACTTACCCTTCTTTGCATGTGTAGGTGACAGTGTTCCCAAAAGTGAAGTTACTCCCAGTTATGACAGCATCTTTGATGGTAGGTGGCTCTCCACAGGAGACAAGGAGACAGGCCGGTGGTGCTCTGTCCCAGCTGCCGGAAGCTGTGCATTCAAGGAAGGAAGGGCCCTGTAAGCTGCAGGAAACAAGGAAGGACACCCCATCACCTTCTCTTCGGGTAATTGTTTACTGCTATGGACATAAAGTAGGAGGACTTAGAAGAACAGAAAGCACATTTATTTGAAAAGTTTTTGTTTATAACAATAAGGTTTCTTCATATTTTATTGCTTTATATAAAAACAAGGGAAATCTGAACAAGCTATGTATTATTTAAAACAATTACTGGGCTGGGCATGGTGGTGCACACATGTAATCCCAGCACTCAGAAGGCTGAGGCAGGAGGATTGTTGTGAGTTGGAGACCAGCCTGGGTTATAAAGTGAGCTCAAGGCCAGCCTGAACTGCACAGCGAGACACTGTCTCAAAAAGACAAAAAAAAAAAAAAAAAAAAAAAAACCCAAACAATTAATGAATTAGAACAACAACATCTGGTGCAAAATAAAATTTAATGTGCTCAGTGGTAGTGGTGTAGGGCACTTCAGACCTTGTGAATAGCAGATTGCTTGGGGAAAGGTTAGTAACATGAAGATCCAGCTGTAAGATGCCTAGCTGCACAGACAGGTAATCAGAGTAGGTGATGTCAATGGGCACCGTCCTTGCTATAAGCCTGGACATTTAAATCACATTGCCATAATTCTGACCTCTGGTCTCCTGTGATTTCCCAAACTTGGTAACCCTATGTCATGGCTTATCCCATTTTGCTATAAGCCTGGATATTTAAATCATATCACCATGATTCTGACCTCTAGTCTTCTGTGATTTCCCAAACTTGGCAACCCTATGTCGTGGCTTATCCCACTTTGCTTTCCAGCATAATTCTGCTTGGTTGTATTTCTCACTATACTTCCTGTTCACTCAGTCTAACTTCAGATCCTGTTGACCACCTTCCTGATCACACCTTGACTTTATTGTTCTTTCTTTTTGAACACACTCCCCATAGACAGCCTACAAAATGGGAGAAAACCTTTGTCAGTTACTCTTCTGACAGGGGACTAATTTCTAGAATATGTAAAGAACTCAAAAAATTTAACATTAAACAAATAGCCCAATCAAATAAATGAGCAAATAATGAACTGAACAGATACTTCTCAAAAGAAGCACAGTGGCCAGTACATATATGAAAAAAAAAAAAAGTTCAACATCTTCAGTCATTAGGGGAATGCAAATCAAAACTACATTGAGATTCCATCTTACCCTTCTCAGAATGACTATCACCAAGAATACAAAAAACAGTAAATGCTGGTGAGGATGGGGCAGGGGAGGAACCCTTCTCCACCCCTAGTGGGAATGTAAATTAGGACAGCAATGTGACAGTGAGTATGAAGGTTCCTCAAAAAGCTAAAAGTAGAGCTACCATCTGATCCAGCTATACCAGTCCTTGGTATACCCCCAAAGGGATTAAAGTCAGCACACTAGAGGGACACTTGCATACCCATATTTATTGTGGCATAATTCACAATAGGCAAGGTATGGAACCAGTCTAGGAGCCCATGGATAAAGAAATCATGGTATAAATACACAATGGAGTGTTAATCAGCCATAAAAAGAACAAAATTTTATCATCTGCAGGAAAATGGAAGGATCTGGAAAGTTGAGTGAGAAAAGTCATATGTGGAATGACAAATATCGCATGTTCTCACTAATATGCAGAATCTAAAGAAGACGACATGAAAGCAAAACAGAGACGATTAGATACGAGGAAAGGAAAAGGAATAAGAGGGGGTAGAGGGGTTACTAGAGTAACAGGAAAACGAATATAATCAAAATGTATTTTACACACTGAAGCCTCCCCTAATGTGAAGTGAGAGGGTAGGGAGGGGCAAAGGGATAATAAGGGGATGAAAATGATCAAAATATATGAATGTTCAAATCTGCCCAAACACCGCCCATCAAAGTGCATAATTAGTACATGCTAATAAAAATATGTGAAACAAAAAATTAATCTCTTACACTATTGAGAACCTACGCCCTTACCTTGACATATACTCTCTGTCCATCCTGTATTGAGTATTGAATCCAGCAGGGAGCTACACTCCCAGCTCTTTATTTTGTATTTTGAGATAGAGTCTTGCTAAGTCACTAAGTTGTTCAGGCTGAGTTCAAACTTTGTGATCCTCCTGCCTCAGCCTCTGAGAGTGCTGGGATTACTGGTGAACATCACCATGTCCAGCTTTCACATGCTTTTTAGAATGCAATCCTATGGAATGTTGAGTATAAACACGGTAATAAGCTATTTATTTAAAAGCATCCATCACAAAAGCATTTTGTGTGTTTCACAAACAATTTTTGTTTCATGTTGAAAGTCTGAATGCTTAAGCAGTTGCCCTACAAGGACCCTGAGGGTCACGGGCTGACTATTTTCTTGGACATTTACCATAAGCTAGCTTTCAGGAAGCGCATAAATTTGAGAATACCCTTACATTTATAAATTTGTTTTCAAAGCCAGCCAGTTACATACAAATGAATCCTACAGAGTAAACAATGAACAAGAAGATACTGTAGGAAGCTGGACCAGTATCTACACACTTTACCTGTATCCACTCTCACATGAATATAATGCAGTAGACAGGTAGGTGAGCCCACTCAAAACGTATTTTCCATTATTTATGCTTTCAGGGTTCGAACACTTCACCAGTTCACACGCAGGGTTAGAATGACTCCAAGAACCACTAGCAAGACAAGATGTTTCTTTATCACCAGCCAAAGTATAGCCCTTATTACACCTGAAGGGGATAAAGGAAAATTATAGGTTTTATTTTGCATAGTTTTATCTGTACCTTAAACCTTTAAAATATTGGGAATTTATGCATACTGGAAAATTTCTCTTTTTTCTTACTGAAACAATGCTTCAAATTTTATTTCAAGGTTGAAAATGTACATCTTTATCCCACAGGAATTTTGTTTGGTAAAAATAGAGAACAGATTTAAGAATTTGGCTTGTCTCCAGATTCTCCAGATTGCATCATGGATCAGTAGTTGTAAACAGAAAATCCTTGTTTTGAGAATGTTGTGTGTTTCCCAAGTCCCTGAGCTGTCAGGCTGGGAATCAAAGCCCACTGATAACCAAGAGCAATCAATGGCCAGTAGTGGCTCCCTCCAAGACATCCACCCTCAAGAAGTCTCAAGGGAGTGCAGTGGCAATGACAGGTTCAGGGGATTAAAGGGTTCTAGCTACGACTGCCAATGAATTATTGGATTAGACTTCGTCACACTACACTTCATTCAATTAATTCCAGACAAAAAACATGCTCCAGGGTCGTTTCTCTCAATATTATACCAGTAATGGCATGTCATCAACAACTTCTGCCGTGTAGCTTTAATTTTAGACACTGACCTGTATGTCACTTTACTGCCATAAGTAAATTCTGATCCATCAATGCCACCATTTTCTGGAATAGCTGGTTCACCACAGGAAATAGCTGAAAGGAGAGAAAAAACGTGGCTTTTCTAAGAATGTGTGTGCAAAAACCCCTGAATGCTCAAGGGACAGACAGCTCTGCCTGTCATGTTTAAACATAAGACTAATATTTGGTTTCAAAACAAAAAATGTTGATAGAAATAACACTTACCATATGTAATGCTCTAGAATTGCCAAACACGGTCACATGAAAATTAATTCAATATACCTTCACAATTTGGTCTTGGGTGATTCCACTCTCCAGACATCAAGCAGGTGATTTTGGTTACTCCCCTCAGTCGGTATCCTTCCTCACAGGAAAACGTAACTTCAGCCCCCACTGTATATATCTCACCAGAAGAGTAGCCATTTTCTGGATTTTCTGGGACCTTACATTTTATGGGTTCTTAAAACAAAGAAAGTTTTTGTGGAATAGTAAGTGGCTTTCACACAGCCATGAAAAGTTTCACAGTAAAAGAATTTCACTACAATTAAGGTGTCTGTGCAAATCCTGAGAGAAAAGTTTTTGAGGGGAGATAAATACAGGGGCCTTTGAACTGAGCTACATCCTCAACCTTTTAAAATTTTTTATTTTGACACAAGGTCTCCCTAAGCTGCTAAATTGCCCAGGCTGGGTTTGAACTTGTGATTCTCATACCACCACTTCGAAGAATGCTAGGATTTTAGATGTGCACCATTACATCCAGCTCAGAAAATACATTTAATATGCATTTAAACAATAGCAACTAATAAAATGTACAATTTATTGGACCAAAATGCAGTTTTTTAAATTGGGGAAGCAATGATGGTGCCAGAGCATAGAATTAAAACCATGTTCTCAAGGTTTCAAGACAAGAACATATACATCACATAATGTTATATGAAATAACTAAAAATAGAGAACTATTTATAGGAAGCACAAAGAGAAACAAACAGCATAAAGAGAAAGCTTTTATCTCCTATTTCTAATAGTAGGTATTTCTCAGTAGTGAGATAACAGATGATCTACTCTCTCTTCTGTGTTAATAATTCTCCTATTTCCTCAAGGAAGTTGCATGGCTTTATAATTATAAATTATATAATTATATATATAAAATTATAAGTTATATAATTATATATATAATTACAAACATTTGAAAACATTCATCAACTTACATTTTATTTCACTATATACACAAGTAGATTAAAAGTATACTCCAAGTCCTTCATTAACTCACCTACTATACCAATCTCCTACATTTCCTTACCATTCCTATACATCTATCTCTGGTAATAGAACTGTTAATTCATATTTGTTGCACAGTTTATCTTCTGTTTCAATAATAAATTACTCATTTTTGTTTTTATTTATTTGAGACAGGATCTCACTATGTAGTTCAAGCTGGCCTTGAATTCATTATGTAGCCAAGGCTGGCCTTGAACTCACAGTGATCCTCCTGCCTCAGCCTCCTAAGTGCTGGGATTACAGGCATGTGCTACTGTGCCTGGCTCTATTTCAATAATAATTACGACAGCTATATGAAATTTGAACTCAAATTTAAAATATCTATTTAGTCTAGATAGATAGTCTCACCCAGTGGCAAGCCTGTTTCAAAGTTCGCAATATAACATATTTGCTTTTCTTTCAGTAATGTTTGTCTTTCTTCCCTTTTTTAATTGTCTTTTCTCTTTATGACTTGGTATTTAAACACGTTTTTAAGTGGAAGTGATGTTTCTTTGTCTCTTATTGTGCATAAGCAGTCTCTTGAGATTTTTACAGTAGTTCCTGTGTTGTCATTTTTATTGCCATATTCTGAGTCTTCAGGATTCCCTCTTTGAGCAGGAATGTTTATGCAAAGTTACTATATTTTTAATTTTGTTTATTTTTCCTCATATTTTTTAAAAAAAGAAATGTATCTAATCAGGCACTCCTCTACACAAGCTTCACAATTTGTTCTTAAATAGTACACCACTTTTTCAGCTCTATCTCCCCCACTGTGTGTTTTATAGTGGGAAACGTGATCTCTATATCATGTACAATTCCTGGTACTGTTTTTCCTCTGTTCAAATTTCAGCACTTTATCTTGGGGACCTATAGCCAGATGACTTACCCATTACTTTAAGTTCTTCTTTACTTTCGATCTTATTGATTTCTGGTAGTTACTTCTCACAATATATGTAGAAATAAATCAGTGGGTAGAGATATGGGCCAGCATTATCAAAGTTATTGCAAGATCAGAAATGTGGCACAGCAAGATGTCTACATTCTTCAATGATATAATTGCATGACAGAAACAGAGGAAGGATATTAATGGTGAAGATACGCTGGAGAATTTCCTTGGCTCTGAGACAGGCAGAGAAGCCACTGATTATATCTCTGCATCCATTCTATTATTCTGGTGCTATGGAGATATTTCTTCCATATCCTGGCAACATAGCTGGTTCTCAGTTGTGTATTTCAGAAACAGAGATGGGGAGAAACAATGCTAATTGAAAATACTTTCTGTTGTTAATTACGTGTCTTTTAAAAGATGTTTATCTTCTTGTCAAACTATATGCTCCTTGCGTTTAAAACTATTGTCTTACTTTAAATTCACATACTTTAAATTTGTACTCTAATAAAAAGTTGAAATAGGAATTTCTGATTATGCAGACACTGGTTACCTGCACATTTTTTGCCATCTCCTGTGTATGGTGGGATACAGGAGCATATGTAGGATCCATTTGTATTCAGGCAAGAAGCATGCTCGCTACAGTCCGACCCAACTGCACATTCATCAACATCTGAAAAAGAGACGGCTTACAAATGTTCAAGTTGATTCATTTTTCTCAACCATTAAGCATTTGTTTTTCATTGTACAAATATTCCAGTTCATTCATTTTTATGTACCAAATGTTTGTTTTTAGTTTTAAATCGTTATCTCTTAACATATTACTCTGTTCTTATAAAATTTATGTATGTCATAATTACATAGCAGATACACCAGAAAAGCTATTATTTCTTTAGTTTATAGATGGGCAAGTGGAAGAAGAGGGATAGTTCGAGAGAGACTTAATATTAAGCCTAATAAAAGGTAAGATATTTGTGGCCTCTTTAGGGACAGTTGTTTTGCCATGACGGCTTGCCTAGAATTTACTGGGAAGAGACAGAGTTCTGTGGCCGAGAGCCACAGGAATTTACAGTAGCTGTTTCCAAAGAGCTAGAATAAGCCCGTATAGCAATCGCCAACATTCATCTCACCCAGGCAGGATGGGGAAATGCCATTCCAGTTCCCACTGTCTGTACAGAACATTCTGGAGTCACCCAACAAGTAGTAGCCGTTGTTACACTGGTAGGTCACTGTGCTGCCTGCATGGACATCTTCAGCTGAATAAAAGCCATTCTCCAAGGGAGGGGGCACCCCACAGCTGATACCTGAAATGTGACCAGGAAGAACACAGCTAATTAGGAGCAAAGTGCTCCGAGGAAATTTTATTCACATTAAACTACTTTCATGATGTCCCGGTAAGCATGGAATTTTTATGGTACACAAACACTGGGTTGAGAGTGGTGCAGGAGCCACAGCAGCTTAGAACACACGTACGGCCTCAGCATGGGGCGTGTTATCTGGCTCCTAGTAGCTGTGCCATCCGTTCACGTACAGGGTTCTATTACTCACTAGACACCATCTTAGGTGGTGGAGTTATGGCAGCGGACCAGCCAAAACTCCTCCTTGTGGAGTTTGCTCTGTAGTTAAGTACATGAATAAGAAACACAAATACATGTCACGTTACGGGCGATTCTTGATTTAGAATGGTAGTCTTGGTTCCACCAAGTCCCTTCACTTTGCATTTTTCTGTGATTTATTTTTCTAATGCTTATCGTTATTATTTACTATAAATAAATAATATTATATGTGCTTACTTTTCTGGCTCTTTTCTCGGAAATGTAGACCATGAGGACAGGGCCTTTTGTCCCAGTGTCTGCATGTTTAGGAAGTAGATCAGTGCCTGGCACACAGTAGGTACTTTAAAGATTGTTGAGTAAATGAATGAACTGACCTACTCAGCTCAAGAGACTGCTTCTTATCTGCCCCCATTGTCCCAGCAATGACCCTTGTCTTCCTGGACTTGCAGCTTACCCAGACTGTCTCTCTTTCACACTCAGCTTCTTGTGCTACCTTGGAAGCATTTACAACAGGTCTCGCTGTCTTCATCTCCCACCTCCCACACAGCTCCTTAGACAAAGAAAGGACTCAAACGAATATCTGCTTTCTTTGCTATTGGGAAATATTTAGCTTTTGTCTGGCACTGCTACAAAATGTCCATGGTTGCAAAAGTTTTGAAGAGCCACTGAAGTGCCTTCAACGAAGGGAGCTCACGTTCGCAGCGAGGGAGTGGCTGTGTCCACTGTCCTTGGTTGAGACAGTGCTGTACAGGATTCCCGACCATCTGGAAGCCAGGATCGCAGAACAGACTGACTTTGGAGCCTGGCTTTAGATCTGTTGATGCTGTTCGAAGATGAGGCACCGATCCGTCTAAAGGTGGGCAATCTGAGGGCAAAGAAAGCAGGAGCTTGTAGGGAACATAGCACCAGTACTAGCAACTAGAGGCATCAAATCCTACTTTGTACCAGCATGGGAGAACTACTCTGCTGAGACTGAAATAAGTTCCCACAAACAAATTATTACAAGTTCCCATGAGCAAAATTATTAGGAAAACCTTTCGAGTCAAAAATTTTCCCTCTTTCAACAAAAGTCTGCTGAATATTTTTAAAGGGACAAATGGCATGTCATGAAAATTAATGAAATGTTCTTGTAAATTATCAAAAACCATAAATTCCTGGACCTTTTAAGAAGCTCATTTAAATATACTGCATTTTAGGGGACAGTTTTGGTCATCCAGAGTTGTACTACACAGTGTGTGGATGTTCACTTCTTTTCTCTGTGTTTTACCTGCTCCTGGACAGCTACTGGAAAAAAAAGAAATGAAAAAATACCCCACCCATGTCAAGCAGAGGATAAAACTTCAGCAGACAATTAAAAAAAAAAACTGTATTCTTTCTTTAAACCTATCTGCATAATCCTATTTAATCTTTGTCAAATTTTTCTTCTCAATTAGTCTGTACCTTATCATACAGAATATATATCGATATTTGAGAAGTCTTTGGATGGTCATAAAGTAAGTATGAATTAATGTTAAGGAGTGGATTAACAGGTACATATGATTTGACTACTGGAGAATTTTGAATTATTCCCTTTGCTAAAGAACTCCAGGGTGGCCAAGAGATGATGAAGTTGATGGAAGAAGGAAATTCTTACCAGAACAGAATATGCTCTTGGAATCAACCTTCACTTTCCCTACAATTCCTGACAAGAAATCAGGCCATGCTAACACATTTCCTCTACTGAGTTCTTCTGGGCAGGATGTAGCAAGTGATTTCACCTGAAATGATAAAAAGCCATCTTTAGAGAAGTGTTACTTTACCACCCACATGGGATTATTTTATTTAGTCCCATTAAAACATTTGGAAATGTTTTGAGGTTGGAAGTGAAGGGACGCAGTCTTTTGCATGGTATGATTTCAGAAGCAATGGGAAGATTTTCTTTCCTCTCCTCAGTCTGACCGCCATCATTTTCTCTCCCATTAAACTCATTGGTTTTTTTTTTTTTTCATCTTTTCTTTTTAAAAAAGTCGCTGTTGATGAAAATTTGAATTCCTATGCATAGAGTTTCTTAGTAGGGCTTTGAGGTTTGGTAACGAGTTACAGAGGGCTCATTGTCCCCCCCTTCCATTCTGTCTTTGACCTCTGACACAGAGGGAGGAAACAGACATAGAAAAACGTTCTGCCACCATAACTGTAAGAGTGAAGATTGATCCAACCCTTGCTTAGGGCTGAACACCACCACAAGTTGATGCACTGTTTTGTTCAATCCCATCAGAAGTCTGTGGTGTAGTTCTATTTTTCTGTCTTTTATAGATAAGAAAACTGAAACTTAGATGAAGCAACATGCTCACAGTCATCCCCATAAATCGAATCTGTGGTAGAAATGGGATTTGAACATGGGCTGTCTGACTCCAGACTGGCTTTAACCACTAATTTATTTGCTGCTACGGTATCTATGGGTAACCTTGCAAGACTCCTAAGTTTCTGAATATTCAACCAGAGAGATTGGAAGTATTACTCTCCAAGATTCTTTCCAGCTCTGAAATCACAAGATTTTAGGAAATAGTCATTTTCAATAAAATGTTAAAATGGCCACAAGGAACCAGAAAAGGATGATCGTTAAAAATGATTGCAGAGAACTTCTACCTAACTTAGACCTTAATACCTAATTATGCAGGTGATAAATTCTGACAACCAAGGGCTTACAATAAGATACGTCATCATTAGGCTGTTCACAGTTTTACTAGGTTTGTACCTTTGCATCTCATTACTGTCATACACTGAAAATGGAATTGACCTGCTGTGGAGACAGGACATAGTCCCAAAGGTTGAGCTGGCTTATGGAGCCCACAAAAGACTCAGCTGGGTTGAATCCCTCTCCTTTTTTGTCTTGCTCTTGCCCAAGAACTAATGCACCACCACCTATGGAGAGAGAGAGAAAAAAAAGGAGGAAAATTGGCCTGATGGTTTGTTATTCCTGAAATGCTAACTTAGGGAAAGGATAAATGTATGAAAGAAAACTATTAAAAAGCTAAATTATGTAATTTTATTGCATGTTTTAGCAATACAAACTTAAATTAAATTTGTGCAGCAATTTTAAAAATAGTTGGACATGATTTAGATTCTTCCACTGCATTTACAGATATGTCACTGTAAAAACTGCAGATGATACATATAGTGCATATAAGATTTATGCCAACAAAATAGATAAGTCCTATTTTGCTTGCTTTGTTCTAGAAAATTTCCCTCCATGGCAGCCTACTAGCAGCTGCACTTCATTTCCCTTATACTTATGCCATAATTCTGAAATTTCTATCCTCAATTTCAGGGAGCCTTCTAAATTGCCAGGGACCTCCTATTTGGCAAATGCAAAGGAAGCTGCAGTACTCATCTCCTGCGACTTCCTGTAACATGTTTCTGTTCACTATTTTATTGCATTAAACTGTCCCTCCTAGCAGTCCTGGGTGGTCTGTGTTTGCTCCATCAGCTCCACCTTCTCCCTTTTCTACTCTTTGTGTCCCAAAGGTTGTCCCCTCTGAGCTGCACTGGCCAACTTCTTGTCCTCTCGCTTCAGCTTGTGGCTGGTCAATGGCATGACCAGTCTGAGATGAGAAAGGGGGACAAGAGAGAAGTTTGATCTCCCGGATTCCTTCCTGCCAGGTACATGACTGAGGGGTGGCAGTTTTGTCCCATTTGGTGTCATTTTTCCTACTAGGTGATTTCTCTCCATTGCTACAGGTTTGTCTAAATCCACTAGCACGTTGCCATGGAGTCAAAATAATTCTCTCCCCCTTTAAGGTGTGGGTGTTGGGTATTTTGTTCCAGGGGTGAGAAAGTGACTCAGATAGAAGAACAGGGATCAGGAAAGACTTTTGGACTTGGATCTTGATGACTGAGTCAGAGTTAATATCACACAGAATGAGATATGAGGTTTCTAGATGAAGTAGTGTGCAAAATCTAAGAGTAAGATGGTGTCTGTGGTTAGTACTGCGAATGTCCATCTTGGCGCCTAGGATCACAATACCTCTTTGTGTTTTAGTTTCAGAGATGCCGTACCTGATGCTTCTGGAAGTGTATCTGATGGGTTTCTACCCACAGGAATCTCTGTCACGTGGCAGTGATCCAACATGGCATATGATCCCAAAAATGACAATGTGTCCCTTCAAGCCTAACTTCTATGTTCTTCCTCTAGTTCCAAAATAAACTTCCATTTCCTTTTCGTGCATGCCAACAGCCCTCCAATCCTCTCCTGATAGGACACATCACCCGCCCATACTAACTCCACCCCCAGTCTAGCCCAATAAAAACCCATTCCCCATCGCCCTCCTCTAAGGGTCCTTGCAATCTCCTGCAACCCTCCTGCACTGGCAATAAAGGCTTGTTTTTATCTGCATCAGTGTGTCTCAATAGTGCCAAAACCTAACAGGATCACTGTGCTCACTGAAGTAAAAAAGGCAGAGGGACAATGAGGAGGACACATTAGGTCAAAGGAATTAATATCCAGAAATGCAATTTCTTTAGTCTTTTTGTTTGTTTGTTTGTTTGTTTGTTTCCGGTACGGGGAATCGAACTCATGACCTCACACTTGCCAGGCATGCGCTGTGCTGCTGAGCTAAATCCCCAGCCCCCAGAAATGCAATTTGAAAGAGTCATTTCAATTTTATGAGCCCCTCTCGTTCCTTACCTCTAAAGTGGCAATTCAATAACTATTCTCTGTCAAACTCATGTGATCATCATGAAAAAAAACTTTTATATACATCTTCCAGTACTCCTACTTTTAATGACGTCTAATATTCCTAGTTTGCCTGTTTCCCTTTCCCACTCTTCTAAACGAATCTCCTCAGTCTATGCCTTTATAAATCATCCTCATCACCTAAGTTCCCTAAAGCTCATGAGTTTCCTTTGTCCCCTTTCCCCACAACAAACAAAGATGTATGTCTCTGTGTAGCTGGACGTCCCCTCTGAGTCTCTCATTTCTCCAGCCGCCACACTCAGAGTCTGCCCTGAGGCCTGGGTGGGCTCTCGACAGATATTTAGCGTGTGGCTGCACATCCCAACATCTGTGTGCTTCATCCATCTCTTCCATCATCCTAGGGTTAAGGAAGAGCTCTTCCTCCTTTGTTTTTTTTTTCATGTATTCCGAGTTTCTCTCCCAGTAGCAGCATAGCAAATCCTTCTTTTGGTTCTAAAATTAACTTTCAGGGATTTCTCTTCAATAGTGTATCCTTTTGTCTTCTGGCTAAAGACCTCTTTGCTGTTTAGGGTTTGTTGACATATGCCTGTAATGGTTGATACACTGTGTCAACTTGAGAAGTTTAGAAGTTTGACTCAGTAGGGGGCCAGGGTCCTTACTTTGTAAACATCCTCATCCTGTGCAAGAGGAGGGCAGGGAGATGGTGTAAGAGTGCTATACCAGCCCTGGGGGAGGCAGTATCCTGCTTACAGTATAAGGAAGGAGAAGAGGCATGTTTCCCTCCTTTTAGCTCTTGCTGCTTTTGCTGTCTTCTGCAGCCTTGAAGTGTTGCCCCTGTGCCACATCACCCTGCCTTGGAGCCAGCCAAGTATGGACTGACACCTCCACAAACTGTGAGCTAAGTAAACCTTTCCGTCCCTAATTTTGGCCCTCGGGCATTTTGTCCCAGCAACAGAGAGAAAAGTAACCAAGACAATGCCCTATTGCTTCATTCTGATCATACCTAAGCTCCCCTGCTTGCCATCTACCACAGCCATATTAAAACCTGTCAGTAACTTCCCATTCATTTTAGCTGTAAACCTCAATCCTTCATCTGTCATAGAAGGATTTTTGTGGTTTGGTCATGACCTCGTTCAAACCTCATGCTCCTCATTCCTTCATTCAGTCTGCATCCCAGAGTCATCAGTCTTCTTTTAACCCTCTAAGTGAGGAGCAGTCCCCTTTATTCATTAATGCCTGATCTTCCTTGAGAATTCTACAGGGACATCTCTCCAACACTTCGTTGATTCTTCATTTGAATCAGCTCTTTAGTTATGGGACAGTACTCCTTTCTCCACAGTGCTTACCTCAGCTTGAAAGTCTGTGTCAGTTAGTGTGTTTGTGGAGTTGATACCTCATTCTACCACCACACTGAATGCTTCAAGGGAGCACGACCTACGTGGTTTTTGCTCACCCTTGGACTTCCAGTGCCCATACAGGTGCCTGACCCATTGAGCAGGTGCTTGTATGTATGCTTTACATTTACAAATAAAATCAACCGTTGTTTGATCCCCAAGGCTTTCTTAGTATTAAAAATAATACACATGAACAATAATTTCTAAAAAACATAAAGATCTGTTTTGATGCTTTACAAAGTTAATATCGTCACATTTTCATGAATATTAGACCTTTTAAACTATATTTGTTCGTATATTTATCCTAGTTTGATATAATTTACTTTCAGACTACATTAATTTTTAAAAGTTGAACCATCTTTGTTTAATTTTCTTTTCTCAGGTACCATTTTTAGTATCTGAAACAAATGAGGAACGTGGAGAACAATGTTCTTCTACAGATGCATCTACATGGAGCAAACATTGCTATGTAATACTTTTGCACTTTTAACTAAAACTTTCTGGATATTTACCTTAAAGTATTTTTAACTCCTTTTTCTTTGGTACTAGGAATTAAACTCAGGACCTTGCACTTGCCAGGCATGCACACGTGCCCCTGAGGTATATCCCCAGCCTTTAAAGTATTTTTAGAGAGGAATTTGAGTTCTATTTGACAAAGTGAACAAAAAATGAACAGCTACTCACAGTGGGATAGTTTGTATGCTGATCACAAAACAAAGTCCATACAACAAATAAACCCTCCCCCCATCCAACAATTAATCTTTTTCTTTCATAGAAGACAGTTTAGCAGGTTTCAGTTCAGCATGCTCCTTGGTAGTATTAGCACAGACCCCTCCCTCAAGGTGTTTCTTACACTGTGTCATACAGCTCCCCTACAAAAAAGCATCTAGTAACTTACAGTCTGAATAATCAAGGAGAGAGAACTGTGGATTTTTGTCTGGAAACAAGACCGACAAAGCAAGCAAGGTTGATGTTCACATATGCACAGTACCTCTAGAATCTAACAGAATTGTACTCATTTTGCTTAAACATACCAGGGATGGCTGTCCCAACAGAGAGACCGCTGCCGCTGTCAGATAATTTCCCATCAATATAGACTTTCCAGACTCCACCGGCACTTGTCCAAGTGATTGCAATATGGTGCCAACTGCCGTCATTCACTGAGGGACAGTTTGTTATCCTTTCCTTGCCATTCACATAAAGAACCCAGCTGGAGAGAGAAAGATTCCAGGGAACAGTCATCAGTCCTATGTTGCAACCCTTTCTGTGGGGCATGTTCCTATTCTGTCTTTTTCTGGGTAAAGTACTCTGTAAACCCATGGCCATATTTCATAGAAGCACATCTGCTTGAATAATTCCACTTAATTGTATCTCATTTGGAAATTTCGCTTTTCTTAAACACTGAGGGGTAGGAAAAATTTTTCAGATGAGCCAAGAGAATTATCCAGTTTTAGAGAATTTACCACCTGGCTAGTTTGGAAAGAGAGTGAAGAGTGAAAGCAGTAGAATTCTATAAATGTCAGACCCATATCTGTCCTCCAGAATGTGTGCTTCCTATGACTAACCACAAACCTCAGCTATCCCATGGAAGATCAGTGTGTTTCATGGCTTCTGTCATGGCCTGAGAATTTGAATGTTTTGTATTTCCTCAGAATTCACATATTAAGATCTACCCACCTGTAATGATGTTAAGAGACGGGGCTGCTGGCTATGGTGGCATATGCCTGAGAGAGGCAGGAGGATTGCAAATGCAAGCCTAGTCTGGACAACTTTGCAACTTAGTTGTTTCTCTAAATAAATAAATACAAAAGTGATAAAATAAGGAAAAAAGGGGCTGAGGTTTTAGCTTACTGCAAAGGCCCTGGGTTCAATCCCCAGTACTGCAAAAACAAAAAAACCCAAACAAACAAAAGACACACACATATACATACACACACACTGATATGGACCTTTTACAGGTGAACAGATCACGGGGGTGGGCCCCCATGAAGAGAATTATTGTCCTTGTAAAACAGGTCCCAAGTAAATCCCCTGCTGCTTCACTGTCTGAGGACACAGCAAGGACAGGCTGTGAATTAGTAAGGCCCTCACCTGCTGCTGGCACCATGATCTCAGACTTCCCAGTCTCTAGAATGGTGAGAAATAAATTTATGCTGTTTACAGCCTCCCAATCTATAGTACTTTGTTATAGTAGCCCAAATGAATTAAAACAACTGCCAAATAGTTATATGGTAGGGAAAGTATCTGAATCCAAAGAAATGAATGATTAGTACTAAGCAAAAGTAGTCAACTGGCAGAAGTTTCCAACAATCATGTCGCTTAAGGAAATGAGAAAGATATTAGCCTAGGGTGAAAATTTTTCAGAAGCAAATGGAGAAAAAGAAATGATTATTGAAAGTTGATAAGGAAGATAAAAATTCATTGAGTACTTCTCCCAGAATCTTCTCACTGCATTTAAAGATGTTTGTAGAAAGGTAATACTTTTGCAGTATTATTTTCTTTCCAGTATTATTTTCCTCTCTCTATTCAAGTAGGCATTTTATCTCCAATGAGGGATTTTGCAAACCTCTTGAAAGTTTTTTTTTTTTTCTTAAAGCTCAAGTCCGCTAAGAACATTTGAGGATGGGAGATTTCTACTAGAATAGTGAAACTCCCTGGGCTGTGGGGTGGAAAGAGAGCTGTGTGTCTCTGAGGTGTGACCTGCTTGTTAGAGGTCAGCAGGGTGGATGAACTTGAGGGAAAATCCCATGTGTTGACCACAGAGTCAATCCAGATTGAAGGTGAGACCTACATCGTTGTCAATCCTGCATATGTGGACAAGGTCAGTGGCCTTAAAGGGTGAGACCTACATCGTTGTCAGGACTGAATATGTGGACAAGGTCAGTGGCCTTAAAGGGACCACAAGAGGACAAGACAGTGGACAGCCCAGCAATAAGTAGTGTGGACAGATGATCAGTGGTGGAAGTCCTGCCCAACTTAGTGGCTCTTCCCTTACCCCTTGGAGGTCCTGTTTTATAAAGAATGAACATCAGTCTTAGCGTCTGGGTTTGAGAGTTATCTCTGCCCCTGGCAGGGTGTGAGATTTGGGTCAGATTAGTCTGTCTGAAATTTTGTTTTAGTATCTATAAAAGGGATGCTAATTCCTCAGGTCATTGTGAAGATCAAATGAAGTGGTACATGTGAAAATACTTAGTAAGCAATAAAATACAAGACATGTGTAAACAACTGTCACTAAAACATTTTCTTTTTACTGAACTTGTCCAGATGTTCTACTTGACTTTTGTTACCCAGCTGTCACGATGTAGCACCCAGTCCCTTGACTGCTACCCTATTCTGCATCCCCAGTGTGAGGAATTGAGCCCTTGACAGCATAAGGTTCTAAGTTGGTTCCAAGAACAGGTCCTAACCACAGCCTTCCTGAACTTCAGCTTACCCATTATAATCAGTCAGGAGGAAAGTATTGTCGCTGTCATCTTCAAGTGCATAGGAGATGGGTGTGCCATAGTTGAAGGTGTCAGAGGATTTCATCCAGAATGCACAGGTTACAGCATGGAGGGATGGAAGGACACCATCCAGCATGACATACCCATAGATGCCAGAAACTTCAAAATCTAGGTTAAAACCTGTAGACTGTTCTGCAACAAAGAGGAAAGGTGAGCAGACGGTGGCACTTGTGAGGCATTTCTAATTGTTGAAAGTAAGCAGTCCAAAAACAGTAATACTGTGAAAATATAAATATGATTCCCTGAGAAGCAGTTTAAAAACTAAAGATAATTCACAAAATATATTTCCCATTCTTTTAAATAAAATAACCAGAGAGTATACGATATAGCAAAACACTCAATTACGAAAGGATGCAGAGAGATCGGGAGTAGCTGTAAGGAGATACAGAATGGGGATGTTGCTACAAATGAGACACTAAAGCACACTTGTATTCTGACTAGAAGAACTTGGTGAAGAGGAAAGAACACGCTGAAAGAAAGTAGCTGATAAGCATAAAGGCATCACCTGCCCCTCCTTGAGGCTGTGATTTTTCCTTACTTCATGAGCAATTCAGCTCTACCCCAAATCTGCAAAATCTACTCAATAAAACAAACATCCTACAGCTAAAAGACTGCATATATTTATGATTACCTTGTCTCACAAGGAAGCAATTCAGCTATGACCTACTGATTCTCAAACATGGAGCCTCATCTCCTAAGTCAAATAGCTTATCAAAGTGTCCTTTTCAAATACATAGCAGAGTTCTATTAAACTGCATTTTCTCCACTTCCTCATACAATTCTAAAGTTCAGTTTCCTCATCTGTGCTATTGAGGACATTAATAACAGCACCTAGTTTATTGGATGGATCTGAAGATTAAAGAAGTACAAAGTGCCTAGTGGTTTTTGGTCTATAGGTGATATATGGAACAGGTAAAAATCGATATTGTTGTCATGGTATTGTGTTTAGTACTGTTGTTAATAACATTTCATTCATATCTACCTGTTTCACACCTGCTGCCTGAAAATCCTGGCCGACATTTACAGCTGTATGAGTTTGATTCATCCACGCAGGTGGCCTGATTTCTACATGGGTTAGACTGACATTCATTGATGTTTGATTCGCAGTGTGACCCCGTGAAGCCTGCTGCACAGTGGCACCTAAAGAAAACAAAGCGTGGTAATGATCAGAATAGCTGCTGAGAAGTGCTACAGGGTGGCTCCCATTTATGGTAACATTGTCTCCAAAGACTGCAAATTGAAATGCTGAAATATATTTTCCTTATTCAAACAACATTTTATAACTTTTTCCAGTTCATCTGATTAAACCCATTGGAAACAATAGTATTAAACAATAATAATAACAATGACTATAATAAAAATGGAAGGTAATTTTACTGGTGAAATATTACTTAATTGAAATATTACTTACATTTTTTGGATTCTCTCCCAACAGAAATTCTTTTTTTTTGTTTGTTTGTTTTTTTGTTTTTTTGTTTTTCTCTGGTACCGGGAATCGAACTCACAACTTTGCGCTTGCCAGGCAGGCACTGTGCCGCTGAGCTAAATCCCCAGCCCCTCCAACAGAAATTCTGTCGTGTGTGTGTGTGTGTGTGTGTGTGTGTGTGTCTTTTTAAGACAGGGTCTCACTATGCACTTCAGGCTGGCCTTGAGCTCACTTTGTAGCCCAGGCTGGTCTCGAACTCACAATGATCCTCCTGCCTCTGCTTCTTGAGTGCTGGGATTACAGGAGTGTGCCACCACGCCTGGCCAAAATCTGAATTTTTTATATTTTTCCAAGAATTTCTGCCACACCTGGCCAAAACCTGAATTTTTAATATTTTTCCAAGAATTTCTGCTGGGCATGGTTGCACACTCCTGTAATCCCAGCACTCGGGAGGCTGAAGCAGGAGGATAGTTGTGAGTTTGAGACCAACCTGGGCTACAAAGTGAGCTCAAGGCCAGCCTGAACTGCACAGAGAGACCCTGTCTGAAAAAGACACACACACACACACACAAAATTCAGATTTTGAAAGACATTGTTCCAATGTCTTTCTATGTATTTAGCCAATCTTTATAGAAATGGAGTAATACTAGTATTACTAATACTAATATTAGTATTATTACTACTACTAATAATAGTCACAATAATAATAATAATAATAGTATGATACTAGCATTATTCCCATTTTACAGATGTGTTAAATTACGGCCAGAAAGACTAAGTAGTTTGCTTAAGTCCCATTGTTACTAAGTAGTGGAGTGGGATTTTGAAACTTGTTCTCAATCAGTGTGTCATACAGCACTTTTGTAGTATACAACAAATCATATAAACCATCAGAATGGAAATGGCAATATCAAATGTTGACAAGGTTGTTGCAAAATAAGAAATCTCTTATAGTAAGTGGAGCCACAATTTGGTAATGTCAACAGAAACTGAGAATTTGCATTCCCAGAGCCCCAAATCCCATTTCTTGACATCTTCTCTAGAAGATTATTGCAGAAGGTGCAAAAGATGCAACAAGTGTTCATAGAAGTATCATTCTAAATGTCCATAAAGAAAAGAATGGGAAAATAAATCATAATATTGTCATGTAATAGATGTTAAGCAGCAACTGAAATAAATGAATGAGTCAAATGTATTTACCTTGACCATACTTTAAACCAATGTTGAGTGAAAAAATTCTATAATGTTATGTACAGTGCAATACCTCTCATGCAACATGTAAAACTATATAGCGCTTATAGCAGTCACATATACAGTAAGGTTTAAAGCCTGAATGAGAAAGATGTATACCAACTTCAGGACAGGGGTGACCACTGGGGAAGGACAAGGGAAGGAAGAAGAGAGAGAGAGAATAAATGGGTGGGTCAGAGCTAATACAGCCCTATCTTTTGAACTTCTTTAAAACAAAGGATGTGAAATAAATATGGCAAAATACTAAGATTTGACAATCACAGTGCTAGGTGTGTGACGATTACTGTTTGTAATTTCTGTATGACTTAAAAATTGTGTAATTAAAGAGAACAGAGCGCTAGCACATTAATATGATTACCTTTTTGGTATGGATCTGAAGATGAGTAAACTATTTTGGCTAGAAATTTGCTCATCTTTATCTGCCAATGTTTGATATCATTAGGATGAACCATATTCTGACCCCTGAACTACATTCATTTTGTCAACAAGCTACACTCCTTATGAACTAACTTTATCTACTCCTTTCCTCTAGTTAGGATTTAGATGAATTTGACATTCATCCATTGCTTTGAATTCTAGGGATAACATGGAAGTCTTTTTCATTTGAAAATTTTTTGTTGCCTATGGTTAGGTACTAAATGCCAGAAAATGTAAAGCATTCACAGAGAATAATGCTGCCTTGATAAGACCTAATTTCCACATGAGAGTGGATATCTCATTGACAAAACTGCTTTCCTGTTTTTTCTGCCATGTGCCTTGGCTATTTATGGCAGAATGGTAGTGGCAGGTGCCAGTCTGGAAGGGGATTGTGAAATGCTGCACTTGAGGTAAGCTTTTTTTTCCTTTACTTTTAACTCTTGTAAACTTATAGAACCAGCAGCATCTGGAGAACAATGACATTTCCTAAGGTTTTGCCAGCAAGAACAGTCTTTTACAAGGCAAGAGTACTGTCTTCTCAGCTTGCCTATAAGGAGAGGGGCGGAACAGAGCAGGCTCCGTAAAGATGCAGTTTCTCAGTTTCTGAATGCAAATTCTCAGTTTCTGTTGACATTGCCAAACTGTGATTCCACTTACTATAAGAGATTCTTATTTTGCAACAACCTTGTCAACATATGCGTCTCCGTAAACTAGCCCCAGGAGGGGCTAGTTTTCAAACTGAGCTCTACTGGCACTATAGAAAGTTTCCTCAGAATAATAAAGTCTTTCTTTCCCTCCCACACTATTTTCAGCCACAAAAGCTTAGCTTTTATTATTTTATTTGTTTATACTCAAGTTTCTTTTGAATGAAAGGTTACTAAACTAAATGAACATCATGGATATAGAATGTAGATTGGCACTAAAAATGTGATTGCAAAATCCATTTTAATTTTACACAGTGTAAAAATTTCAGCTACAATATAAATCACTTGAAAATATGGGTCTGTCTAGTGTTGGTATTATTTACTTTTGTGCATTGGAATTGTATTTTCTTTCATCTTTTATGACTTCTCAAGTGTAGAGCAGAGGTTTCCAAACCAGGCTACACATCAGAAACATTGGAAAAATTAAAACACAATAGGTGGCTATTTTAAATTGTAGGTTTTCCCGAGGGCTTAGTCCATCCAGCCTTACCTCTAGTGATTGAGAGATTGTACTATAGCCTGTCCTTGGGCTAGCAATGGAAAACAGAAGACTTGGGACTTGCTGTAATCTTCCAGAAAGATTGCAGAAATATTGAACAGTCAAGAAAATGAAGTCTAGACTTGGTGTTTTACCTGAAACTACTGGCGCCATCCTTACAAGTGGCTCCATTTTGGCACGGCTGACTGAGACACTCATCGATGTTTATCTCACACCGGATACCCAAAAATCCAGGGGGACATTTGCACAAGAATCCTCCAACTTGGTCCTCACAGGCTGCATTATTAAAGCAAGGGCTTGATTGACATTCATCGACTTCTGTTTCACAGTGCGGGCCTGGGGACAGATGAGGAAGAGAAAGAACCCCAGTGGTTAACCCTCTGCAGAAACTGATCAAGGCCCTGGCTTCCTGGAGGATGCTGCTTCTAAATGACTAGAAAGGAGGTTGCAGAGCCACTGACCTATCAAACTGGTTCAAGATCCAATGAGCTTTGGTTTTGTGAATCATTTTATAACTGGATTTTTGATAATCTGCTCTCTTGAGATTCTTTCTGAAACTAAAATTAATAATGAGCATTTAATTGAGATCATGTTAGAAAATGAAATTAGTAAGTCTATGAAAATTTTTCTATTTCTTTGACTTTGTCTCTATGCTACACTGGCCATTTCCTTTCTTGGACTTTTTCCTTGCTAATTCAGTATGTGTTTTAAACTATTATTTTGCATCCATTTGCAGAACATGTTATCTTGCATTCATTTACATCCATTGGTAAATATTTACATGATTTGTCTTTAGTTCTTTCTTGAAAGTTTCCCTTAACACATACACACACACACACACACACACACACACACAAATACACACACATACACAAGAATACTGCCTTTTACTGAACAGTTTAAGAGTAAATTGCACATTTTATTCAGTGTACATTTCCTCAAATTGAGGACTTTCTTTGCTTTATTACAGTATGTTCATAAAATCCAAAAATAATAGTTATATGTTATAGTTTCTAGTGCTTTATAATATTCTTTCTTTTTTTTTTGGTACCAGGAATCGAATTCTGGACCTTGCACTTGCCAGGCATGCACTTGTGCCACTGAGCTATATCCCCGGCCCTATAATATTCCAAAACCATGGAGGAAGAATGGAAATGTCTTACCAATATATCCTTTCATACAGGTGCAGTGATAACCTGCCACGCCATCAACACAGGTTCCTTTATTTAAACAAGGACTGGAGCTACACTCATTTATATTTTCTTCACATAGCTGACCTGCAAAAAGTGACAGAGTATTTGAGCTAGGGAAAACCCAAAGGACTTTAAGACCAATAGTTTCTGAGCACGTTTTTTGTGTGTAACAATTGAACAATGAGAAATCCTAGCGAATAAGTTTGTGGAAAATTTTATTCTTAGCCAAATACAGTGAACTGAAGTGTTTCTTCAAATCTTTGAGTTGCAAAACTTAAGCAAGAAACTTACCTGTTCAGTCTACCTAACAGGTGACTGAAGAGATTTTCAAGGTCTATCCTGATTGTTCAAAATTTCCCCTCTATCCAAACTTTCGAGTTAAACTCCTGAATTAAATGTAATTTTATTATATAAACTCAATACATCTTCCCATATAACTAAGGCTATCATGGTTGCATGCACTCCAGAAAGGGAAAAATAACTTGTTTCAAATGATTATTATCATAAATTAGGCTGTGAAATAATTTTGTTTCTTGATGAAAATTATTTTTAGAATATAAAGTTAGTATTTTTAAAAATTTTATTGGAATATGTTTGTGATACATAAATAACATTTATTATGGGGAACTAGTACATACACTTATTACATATTGATCTTTTTTATTCCCCTTTCCTCTCCTCTCCTTCCTGATGCTCCCATAAAGTTATTAGAACCCAGTTGTTTTGAAATATTTTTAAGATTTTACTGAACTTCTTAAAATATAGAAAATTATACATTCATATGAATTAAATATATATTCAGGTATGTTTTTAGTAATAATAATTTTAGAGTTAGGTCCAATGCTAGAGGATTCAGATTATCTCAGTGCACTCCATAATAATACTATGAGGATGTTATTATTTGTAAGATAGCAAATCAAAGTATATTTTATAAGAATATATTATCAATGTTATAATAATTATAACAAAACTGAATAAGACAATTGACAGTAAAGTCAGTATTTTTGAACTGTATTGTGAGGAAGATGTTGGAAGTTTCAACTTTGACTTAAATAAAATATACACTTAAATATATGCATTCATTTAAGGTAAAAGGAAATTAGTCCATAATAATACAAGTGATTAAAGTCCAGGGTTAGTAATAATTACACCACACACACACACACACACACACACACACACACACACAGAGCACTATGAAGTAAGTACTCACTTTTCATAAATTCAATAAACTAGTAATGAGGTAGGAAAGAACACACTATATGTCTAGTACTCTACTGGTCTTTATATATGTTCTTTAATTTCTACAGTATATTCATAAAGTCTGAAAATAGCATTTATATGTTATATTAGTAAATGGGCCAATTTTACACATGCAGAACAGGTTCAGAGAAGTTCAGTGACTCATCCAAGGTTGCACATCTAGTTGGCAAAGATGAGATGAGCTCTGCCTATTTTATAAACCTCAAGCAATTTCATATGGCCAAACTGGTGCTGTGCTCTCCCTATGTAATAGCATAACAATACTTTCCTAATGTATTTAAATAATAAAAATCATGCCTGTACAGTATATCTACAATACTTTATTAATATATCCTAACAATATATTTTAAATGTACCTCAGTGATGAAATCTGAATGACTCCAAGGTTTATGCTGTAAAACCAAGAGACTTGTCCCTTACCTGTATAACCCAATGGGCACTCACAAACGAATTTCCCTACTTGGTCTTTACAAATTCCATTGTTGAGGCAAGGTAGCGAGTTGCACTCATCCATGTCTGTTTCACACTTTAAGCCTAAAACGCAAACCAAACATTGAAGGACAATCAAAGAGAAGAAGTAACACAAACAGAACCTCAATCATTTCAAGTATTTATCTCAACCTAAATGCATAGGGGCCAAAGGGGCTGCCCTCTGGTTAAGTATTTAATGCAGGCACTATTTCTGAACAGCTTTAGGGACTTCACAGGAATACATAAAAGATAGTAAGAGATCCCAAATTAGAAAAAGGGACGGGGGAAAAGCTTCAAAGTGTAAGCTGGAGCTAGGAACGATGAAATGTGTTTGAAAAAGATGGTGAATATTTAAACTGAAAAACCGTAACACAGTAAAAGACACATTGTCATTAGTCCCCCTCAAAATTCTCTCTCTTATTTCCCTTTGGACACCTGTATCCCATCATTCTTGCCACTTTCACAAGCAGTTCTGGAAGTCCTCTTTCCTTTCAGTTGCGCAGTCATGGGTACCTCCATGTCCTGAATGAGCTCAACACAATTATCTTTTGATCTTTGTGACTTGGGGGGAATGGGCAGAAATCACATGGTGCCAAATCGGGTGAATACGGTAAATGAGGACACACCACAGTGTTTTGATAAATCTTTCTGTTGAATGGCACATGATAGCAGCCTTGACTGTATTTTTTATCACACCTTCTGAAGACCTTCATGAAAGACTTCTAGACCTGTTTCAGAAAGTGGTAAGAATGATGGGGTAAGTGTGTTCAAAGAGGAAAATTGTTTAGAAGGAAATTAATAGTAATATGTCTTTCATTGTAATCATTTAAAACTTTATTTATCTATTTATTTACTTTTGTCTTTTTGAGACAGGGTCTCGCTATGCAGTTCAGGCCAACCTTGAGCTCACTTTGTAGCCCAGGCTGGTCTCGAACTCACAACAATCCTCCTGCTTTAGCCTTCCAAGTTCTGGGATTACAGGTGTGCACCACCATGCCTGGAGACAATTTAAAAAATTTAAACATTCACCATAGAATAGTTTGATCACCCTTTGTATGCTAATTCCAAAGTAAAAAATATGAAGTTATATACACTTGCTGCCAAGGTCACCTGGCAGAGGAGAGAAGACAAGCTAAATCCTGCCAGATCTCAGCTCACAAGCCAGGTGACCTGGAGCACAGTCCATCTTCCCATAGGATGTATGCAAACTTTCTACTGGCTAGCTCTGCTGGAAACCCAGGTTCTTCAATAAGATATTATATAGGGGTCTCAAAATGTGATTCCTAGATACTAGTGTCAGTAGCACCTGGAAATGTAATAGAAATGGAAATTATCAAGCTGTACCCCAGAATATTGAATCAGAAGTTCTGGCATTGCCAGAATCTCTGAGGTCCAGTGGCCTGTGCTTTAACAAACCACTATCATACATTATGATCTCTGTCACCACTCATTTATAGAATTTTCAGATAAGATCAGTTATTTCTCATATAATGTCAAGACAAAAATTTTTAGAAAAATTCACACACACACACAAGCACATGCACACACACAGTCAAAATAAGTGGATGTCAGCATTCTTGCTAGCCTTTGGCTGTATTTTGTTTTCCAGCTTTCCTTCTGCTTATTTTATGGTGGTTTTTTCCTTAACACTGTTTTTCTCATTAAAAGCTTCCAAGTTGGTTGCACAAAATTTAAAAAATACAAAAGAATTGTTTAGAAGAAAATTGAGGTATGTTAAATTCTTTTAAATTAATTGGCATTTTAAAGGTATAGCTCCTTTCTTCTTAAAATTATGTGTCTGGATTCAGCAGTAATGTGGACCACACTATAAAGAAACATAATTTGTACATAATTAAGCTCAAAACCATATTGTTTTTCTGAGCATAGTTTCCAGGAAGAAACAAAGCAACAAATCACAGTCACAGATGAGAGAAACCAGGAGTTTGTATAAAAATGTTTACACTGGACGATCTATTCTATGCTGCCATGTATTTAACTTGTGTTAGGATGATAATTTGGATATGACTCCCAGAACTGTATTCCAATTTATATTGTGAGTTATGATGTCAGTTTTTCATACAGAAGGTGATTGCTTATTCTTCCTCCAAAAACATGCAAAGAAAACAGATCTGTGGGGCTGGGGATGTAGCTCAGTGGCACAAGCGCCTGCCTAGCAAGAACAAGGTCCTAAGTTTGATTCCCAGTACCAAAAAAACAAAAACCAAAACCCCATCTCTGAGGTATGTATACTTTGTTAAGCTAAATATGTTTGCACTGATATAGTCTGTTGTATCTCAGGTGATACATTTTTAATATTCCTAAATTCTATTCAGCAAGACACAATGATTTCATATAAAATATTAAAATTTACATTCCTCTGCATTACCTGTATATCCAGGAGGACAGAGGCACACATAACCACGCCCGATTTGTTGGCAGGTCCCATTGTTGTGGCAAGGGTTTAAGAAACATTCATGGAAAACCTACCAGTGGCAGAGAAAACATGCATGAGAGACAAAACATCCATTTATTTCAAAGCGGTCCTGTCTAGACAGTCAGAGGTGGCAGCACTAGACAGCTGTCTCCTGGTTCCAGGTTAATTCACTCACACTACTCTGACCACTGTCTGACGTACGTGGACACAAACAAGATATATTATTCTTGAGTGATGCTCTGGTGAACCCAAGTAATATTCCTAAACTCTGGCTTCCAGTTAGAATTCATATGAAATGTTTTTAAAATATGCAAAAGACAGAACTGTAACCCAGGCCAGAATCTATAGGAATAGAATTTATGCATTTTTTTTTTAATTATCAGATCAATTCTCTTATGCCTGAGGTTTGAGAGCCTCTGCTTTAGGGGTACCAACAAATTTCTGGTTCCAACCGGCTAAGCTTTAAACATGACTTATAAGACTCTAAGACTAGTTTTTAGGAAGCTGGAATAATAAATATTACCTTGTTATCACTAAAACTACTAAAACCCAAAGAAACCATGACATTAAACAAAGAGAAATCAGAGTAATCACAGAATCTACCAAAATAATCAGATTTAACAACTACTCTGTTTTTAAAAGGGGAAACAACTTATTTAGTTATGTTCATGAGTTATGCTTTTAATTTTTAAAAACACGTTATTCTAAGAAATGATTAATTTTGTTGGCAAAAATATATAAATGATTTTCATGAAAGTTGAGTAGTTCTTCATATTATTCAGCAAAGGCCATTGGCGAAGCCAAATACCCTTTTTCAAAGATGGGTTATGTGTGTGGTATTAATTATTAATGAATCAAAGGCTCTTGTACGTATAATTCTTGTACAGTAGTTGCTGGGAGAAATTTCCCAGTTTTTGGTACTTGGAGCATCTACTGTTGCATTTTTTTGAAAGTTCTTATGAGAAGTCATGACCAAATACATGTTCCTTTATAGGATTCATACGACTGATTAAAGTTTCACACTGAGTAGTTCTCCTGTGTGTGACAGACAAATTAGTTTCCAAGCATTACACTCCAGAACATTCATAAGAAGGAAACAAACTTGCCTGGCTGCTAACTTCATACTTCGTTTGGATATGTCCAGGTGAGGCGAGGGGTACTATACTTTCCTCTGCTGCTGAGAAAGTTGAACTAAAACCTAGTAACATTGATAAAAATATTTTAGAAGAACATGTCAGTGTGTGGTAGATACTACCAATAACAGAATCCAAATACTTTGGTTAAGATTCTGGTTGTCAGAGTGAGTAAAGTCACATGTACTTAGCTTTATTTAGTAACATTGAACAGGAACATATAGAGATGGATGTCATATGTCATTAAATTCTAGACTCTTAAAAAGACGTTTGGAAGCTACCAAGTTTATTTCTGAAATGATTCTTGGAGTCATTGTTATAAAACGATCTTAAAAAGGCAATTTAACACTTAAATCCCCTGAAAATATGATATTCAGAAGTGAAATGACCAAAGATAAGCAAAAATAAACCTCAACACGAAATATGTAAGAAATGAAGTGTATCGACCTACTTGAACAATCTGTGATAGATCTGGCACCAGTGATGGTTGTAGTTCCATAAAAAGGACAAGATAGGCAGAAAGACTTCCCTGGATTAGGTTGATAATAGTCTTGAGGACATGGGTAACAAGGCATTAACCCAGAACGAGAGAATTCTCCTATTGGACAAGGTACTGCAAAGGTAACAACAAGTCATTATTGTGTAAAACGTAACACACTCTACACTAAAAAGAAATGCCTTAATCTTGGTTCTAAGAAAGCTTCTGAATTACCAATATAACCCCTTCTACATACTTACTACTCATACCATCTGATCACCCAGGTAAATATTTTGTATTTCTTATCTTTAACAACACACATTCACCCAATAAAGATTAGAACTGGCCATATCACAATGTATTCTGATTTTTCTACTTAACTTTATCTTATAAACATTTTCCAAATCATTTCATAGATCACTAAATAACATGATTTTAATAAATTAAAAAGAAATATTGCAACCCTCTGACAGATTATAATTGATCTAATATACCCTCTACTATAGGGCATTTAGATTATTTCTACTTGTTGCCTTAATTATTAATGTCAAAATGAGAATTTCTAGCTAAATCTTTGCATATAGCACTGATTGTTTCCTTGGGGTATTAGTTGAAATTTGTATAGGTGAATTTGTATAGTTGAATAGTTGGATCTAAAAATATGAAAAACTAAAGGCATTGATCTATAACACCAAATCATTTAAAAGAAAGTTTCATTGTACAGAACTTCCATCAGCAATATAAGAAATTGCTCTTCTTATTGGGTGCTTATCAGCAATGTCATGACTATTTAAATTTTCTTTTCAATTTGAAGATGAAATGGAATTGTATTATTATTTTATCTTGCACTTTGCTATAAATGAAGGTGCTCTCTCTTTATACTTATTGTATATCTTTATCCTTTCTGCATAGTTATCTATTATTTATTGGGGTATTTTATAGTTACTTTATACATTAAGTACATGAATTCTTTGACATACTTAGAGCAAATATTTTTTGCCACTTTGTATGTTAATTTTTAAATTCTTTTCATTAAACAAGTAATTAATTATCTTCCTCTCTATTTAATATTGAATTAACGTAAGGTAACAGATTTTCCTGTGATCCTTTTCTTGTGAGACATACACTTCATTTTGTGTATTTTAAAGCTCTTATTTGATGGTAAGGGTTTGTCATGAATAGTTTACATTTCTTGCGAATTCTGTAATATAAGTAACTTTTCTGTCTTATCTTCCTCACTGGGTGCTTTTTTAGCTTTCAATTGAACTTTTACATCTTGATCCTGATGTTTTCTTGCTTTTTCTACTCATGTGTCTGGTAATGTTTTAAAAAAATTTTAACCTTGGAATGTCATTTCATGTCAGATGTACTTTTTCTTTTTTTTTTTTTTTTTGGGGGGGGGTTTTTTTTTTTTTTCTCCGGTACCAGGAACCAAACTCACGACCTTGCGCTTGCCAGGCAGGCGCTTTTGCCGCTGACCTAAATCCCCAGCCCCCAGACATACTTTTTCTTTAAAAAATCAGTTAAATATTGTCATTTAATCAAATCTGAATTTTTTCATCAATAAATGATACAATGGTAACCAAAACAAAAATGGACTCACACATAGCACACGCTTGGATTTTTTTTCCAATAAATTTTGGTTGCATTAAGCCAAGGGGTGTTGGGGAGAACTATCCATGACTTAACCCTTCAGATGAGGTTTTAGGCTACTATCCAAAGGTAAATTTGGGTGGAATACACCCTTTCCTTGGGCAAACTGGTATTATTTAGATAAGCCCTAAAGTTACAATAAACTGAGAAAACTACTAAAACTATTAATTGTCATCTGTACAAATGTGTACGGAACTTAGGACATAAAAAAGTAGCTACTAAGAACCTCAGCGTACTTATCATTTGGGTTTTGGATTCTTGATAAGAAAAATTAGTTCAGCACAAATAATTATTAATATAGTTGAACTTAGGGGTGAACTTACAGTTCAAGGGACTAGGACCTACCAGCTGGTGATATCTCTTATTTATATGTGTTACCAAACAAGAAACGTTTGACAATTTCAAGAGGTTTAGACCAAAGTTCTTAAAGAAAACAGCCAGCCAAATCTTTTGCAGAAGAAATTTTACATAGCCAATTTACAACGTCAGGGATTGAAATAAGAGATAGAAGACAATATCATAGATATAAATGCCAATTAAGAAAAAAATATTTCTTGTGGGTATTGTATACACGAAATAATTTTAAGCTGTATGCTTGTTTCACTAAGCACAAATTAATACACACTTTGATACAAATAAGAGTTCTACATAGGGCTCCACTATTTGTACAAACATTATTGTAAACTACTGAGTTTAAAGCGGGGTTTCTAAATCTTAAATTTCTAAAAATAACTGCCTATTTGGAAAAAAAAGCCCCTTTTAAACAGCTAATTAAATTAGTTAATGGAAAGTATAAAAAGGTATAAAATGAGGATATAAAAGCTTCTGTTTTATTGTATGAAGGCATAAAACTTGTATTTCAGAGAATATGAGTGTTCATGAAACACTAAAGATAACTTCCATTAATAAAACTCAAAATGCTATACTGAATGAAACTGTTTTTACTTATTTTTCAGCACAATCTTAATCTTCAGACAGAAAAATGTAAAAAAAAAGTTTATGCCCCTACTAACTCACACAATGCTGAAAATTCTACAAATAAATATTAGTGATAAAACATTTAGATTAAAGATAAACCTGTTGACCTCTCAAAATAGCTAAGACATTATTGTGATGTTTCTATTTTACTCTTTGGCATAGGAGGTGTAAAATATGTCTGAAAATCAGTTTATTATTATCATTTTTTTTTTCCAGTACCGGGAATCAAACTCATGACCTTGCATTTGCCAGGCAGGTACTGTGCCACTGAGCTAAATCCCCAGCCCCTGAAAATCAGTTTCAATTACATTACAATGACAGAAGTCATCAGCAGAAATACACTTTGAAGAAATAGTTAACTGGCATTAATATACTACAGACTTCTCGTCTTACGATTGTGCGGGTTTCAGTGATACAAAAGTGATTTGCATTCAGTAGAAACCATGCTTCTAATTTGGAATTTTGATCTTTTCCTGGGCTAGCCATATGGCATACAAGACTCTCTTGTGAAGCTCTGCAGCAATCTACTGCTCCTCCCACTTAACCATACGATCATGATAGTAAACAATACTTGTGTCTATAGTACATATGTCAATAAGCTGATATTCAGTAGGGTGGGGGTAATAAGTGTATTTTCCTTTTACAATACTTTCAATTGACCATAGGTTTATTCAAGTGAAATCTGATTGTAAACAAAGGAGCATCTGTATTCACACATGCAATCCACATACATACATACATATTTAAGTACGTATAAATATACAAATATATGTAATAGTATTTAGTACATAATACAGTACTAAACACATACATGGAATTTATAGTTTCTAATGGGCTAATGTCCTGAGAAAAGAGGGGAGAAATTTCACTTAATATCAAAAATTCAGGTGCTTTTACCACACAAAGGAGTGAATAAAATATAAAATAATAGGATATATTAATTTATCTCACCATAGTGACCATTTCACTATGAGTATCAAAGTATGCAATCTATCTAAAATATATACAAAAATAAATTCATTAATAGATTTCCAAAGACAAAATCCAAGGTTAATCACTCATGCTAAGTCTTCTTTTAACTTTATCCTGGAGGGGTAGGGTAAGAGATGGTGTTATTCTGGTTCAAAAATAATCTTTCCTTCTCCTATAAGATAGGATAATAATGACAATGATAAATAATTTGTGAGATTTGTTATTCAGATACAAATAATTTTCCAAAAATGAAAACTTTCAGTTCTTTGTGTTTGCGGTCACAAACCAAAAAAAAACACTTAAGGACTTAAGAAGTGAAGAAAGGTAAAATGTACTATATAGAGAAAATTTTATTTTAATATAGCAGCATTATAACATTTTATTTTAACATTATAATTGCTGCATTGATTAATAACATTTTATGTTCAATATGCTAAAGAAAAAAAAATATGCTAAAGAAATGCAAAAACGATAACTTTACAAAAATAAGACAAACTGTACAACATGTCCATAAAAGTAAGTTATTTCTTCATCTGAGAAGTGCATATTCATGGATCGGGTCTTTGAATTTGGGGGTTCTGATTTTTTCAATTTCTTGTATGTTCTAGACATAAGTCCTTTGTCTGAGGAACAACTGGCTAAAATTCTTTCCCACTTATTGGGAAAGAATATAAATATATAAAAGGAAATTAACACCAAAAAAAAAGGAAAAAGCTGGGGATGAAGACCAGTGGTAGAACACTGGTCTAGCATGTATAAGGCCTTGGGCTCAGTCCTTAGTAGTGAGAAAAAAAAAAAAAAGGGAAGAAAAAAGAAAAGAAAAAGTAGTGTGCCGAGGCCTCAGAAAAACTACACAAGGGACCATTTTAGAACTCACTCCTATTTAAATTTAAAGTAAATACTGTTTATTGCACACTGCAGGAGAGAGTTTGAGGTTTGCTATTCCTATGAATATTAGGAGAAATGGCCCAGTTACCAGAATTTTGGAGACTTTCTGGGAATTAGAAGTGCTTAATCATAAATTTGGTGTTAAACAATCCTCAAGGCTCATTTAGAAAGCTCAAAGAAAAAAATGTCAAATATGACCTTGTTTCTCCATAAAAATCCTGGTTTCTTTTGCGGTCAGAGGAAATGAAAGTGGGAACGAGCAGAATTTCTTTGCTGTGGATTTTCTTCCAAAAGTAGATTGTATATTGACAAAATAAAAGAGTCTCCAGCAGATTTATTTCAACCATCGTGTGAAGTCTTGTTTGACTTTAAATTAAAAAAATCTTAAGGCTGCTTTTACACGAGGGGCATGACTTAGGAGTTTCACTGGGGTCCTAGCAAAACATACTTTTTTAGCTCTTCAGTGAAACATTAGATGGACTAACATTGTTCACCTGGTTCTTCAGATCTCAGACATTTACCTACCATGAGCCAACCAGACTGAGACAGATCAAACAGATGGGGTTCTAAAAGCCTGTAATTCAGTGTGTGTTTTCCCTTCTCACCATGACCCTTAGCCTGTAAGGACTACATCTCTCAAGATGCAGTGCTGGATGCTCCACTCCCAACCACCACATGCACTGGCCAGGCAGCTATTTTCTATGATTCTCAGTCTCTCGTCCATGTGGTTCCATGTGTGGCTGGAGTGCAACAGGAGTAGAAGGCGTGTGTATGTATCTCTGCGTAGCGAGAGAAGTGGGGAACCAGGAGGGTGGTTCTTAAAAATGTCACTCATCCAATAAGGCAACAGATTTTTCATCTTTGAGAGGCCAAAGACTGTTGGTATTTAAATGAGTATAAAGAATGTTGAGGATATATTGAAAAAATCATCCTTTTGTTATGATTGTTCTGTCCCTCGTGATAGCTAACAATCTTTTACTTTTAATCTACTGATGTTGCATAATAGTTGCAAGTTTTTGGAGTTTCTGGTAGCAGGTTCACCTTGACTGTCAGTTCTGGTTTGGTTGTCACTCTAAGCTTTCACCTTTTATTTTTGTTTACGTCTTCATGAATTTTTGGTCAGGTAATTATACTCAGTAAGGATGTTAGAAATATTTAAAAATTGGAATGCTAATCTTTCCATTTTAACTTATGCTGGTGATGCCCAACTTTGGTTCCTGGACCAGTAGAATTAGCATTACCTGAAAACTAGTTAGAAATGCAAATTGTGAGATGCCTCCCAGGCCTACAGACTCAAAACTCTGGGAGTGGGACCAGCGGTCTGTGTTCTGCCAGCCTTCTGTGCTCACTTGAGAACCTAAATCAGTGTCTCTCAGTTTTTCCTGTCACTTTAGGGTCATCTGAGGGAATTTAATGGCCCAGTTTCTATTGCAGACAGTTTCAATGAGAGTTTTGGAGAGTGGAGGTTGGGCTTCAGGATTTTAAAAATAACTTTATTAATGTGAAGATGACTCTCATGTGCAAGCAGAGCAAATATCCACTCATGAAAATCTTCACATTGTAGGGAATGAAATGTCAGAATTCAGAGAAGAATTTATATTTAGAGTTCCAAGAAACACTAGACAAGAGATCATTTCATGAATGAAGAAACTAAGTTACTAGTTCAGATATATTTCTACCAACCCATGAAGTCACATTTTATTACTGTTTGAGTCCTGGGACCACGTCTTGTGTTTCTTTTATGTTCCTAATAGCATTAGCTAGTTCTTATACTCACATATTGACTAAACAAAGAAAAAAGAACTCTCCAGAAAGTTGTTTATAGCCTTACACACAGTGGACATTCAGTATCTCTACAAATATCCCACTCCTTCATACACAGAGCATGATAGGTTTAAAAGAATATCAACGTCTAAAGCTTTGCTAACCTCCACAAGCAGAAATGTCCACAGCTCCTCTCTTCACAGTTGAAGTGGATTCTGGACATAAAAGGCAGTTCCGAGAACCAAATTCTGGCTGGTAAGTGCCCAGTGGACACGATTCACAAGTCTCAAGCCCATTGGATGAGTAAGTGCCTTGTTTACACTGAGCTAAAAAGAAAAATGTAATATGATTAATAACATCAATGTTAAGCTGAGCAAAATTAGCAGGGTAGGATTTTCTACATTTCACTATAGGACAAGCATAAACATTGGAGCGTCTCCATGCTTCTGTATACTAAATTTTAGACCTGTTTCCAGTTACTTCTGTTTAGTCCATAGAGGGTGTTCAAAAAATCACTGTAGAATGAAGATAGAAATGCACATCATTGAAAGGCATTATCATAAAAACAAACTTGGGCACAAAATCAATCAAAGTTGTGCCCTGGGGAATCTGCTTATGAAGAAATTCTCAACTCATATATTGTTTTCTCAAGTGACAAATAAAATCCCAAATTCTGAGGTTTTGGCACCTTTGTAACTCTATATAGCAACTGGCTCTATTGCCTCCTCCCCTCCAGAGACACCATTTCATTTGAGAACTGGCAGAGAGTTGAAAATAAAAGTAGTCATAGCATTAGATGCAAAGAGGTTAAATTCCTACAAATGGTCGTAGTAGAGTGGTCTAGGCCAGATAGAAGCCCCGACTTCTAGACACTATCCTTTCCTGCTGCCTTTGTTCTCCAAATACCTCTCCTTTTCACCATCGCTAACAGTGTTATGCATTTCTAACCACCTAAACGTCCACACTTGCACTTGCAACGATGGTGAAGTGCCATGATTTTGAAACTCTTTAGCTTGGGTGTATCTTCTGAAACCTTATGAAAGAAAATGTCTCCATGAGGAAATCTCTTTGAGAACAGTAAAAATATTTTGAAAATACTGCACATTTTTGTTCTGTATGTGTGTGTGCCTGTAGCAATGTGTTTGTGCCTGTTATATGAGATATTATACTAACAAAAAGCTAGTGTTTGCTAAGTGACATGGAAGACTTTTCTACTAATTAATGTGAGAAAAAGTCAAGCCAACTGATGAATGTGGCTGGGAGTCTGACATAGAAGCTGGGGCTATAGCTCAGCAGCACAGTGCCTTGCTTGGCAAGTACAAGGGCCTGAGTTTGATTCCTGGTACCAGAAAAAAAAAAGAGAAACTGAGTATTCCCCCCCAAAAAAGATAATTTTTTTATAATGAGAGAAACATACAGGAAATATTTTCTAATTAAAAGAATAAGTAAATGAAATTGCTTTCAATTGTGCTTGTATTTCATCCTATTTGCCATTTATATTTCTGAAAAGTGACAGGGCTCAGAATACCCTGCCCCAAAATATGGTACCTTGATAGACTGGATATTTTAAGCTGAAGAAATCTGAGAAAAATGCAGAAGCTGGAAAGTCTCTTTGACCTTTCCTTGCCTTTTTCTCCTGAAGCAGGTCATAAGACCCTCATGTGAGAGACACCCACCCTACACTTACCTCCAGAGAAATATCCTTATTTCTAATGGGAAAGGAAAGCAGAGGAGAATCTGAGCAAACAGGCCTTGCTGAATATCCCTAGTTTATCACCATCGGGCCATGTCCCTTTGTTCAGCCATTGTTCCCCACAACTATCCACTTCATCAAACTTAGCACAAGCATACACATTTCCTTGTTCTTTTAGGACTTCATTTCTGAAGCACGCTCTGCCACATATGTCTTCTGTTAAATAAATTTGTATGCTATTCTCTTGCTAATCTGTTTTTGTTACAGGAGCCTCAGGCACAAACCAAGCGATAGATGAAGAAAATAAATCTGTCCTCCCCTGCCACTGGACACAAAATCCAGGGTGCCGTGCCTCAGCGTGTCCATTACTCCCCTACCTTTACATTCTGAGATACTTCTTGAATGGAGATACTCCGTATGAGTCCCAGCAGGACAAAGTTTGCACTCCAATTGCCCTTCCTCATCTTGATAAGATCCCAGGCGACAGCTTTCACAAACAGAATGCTCCAGAGAATAATAGGTTCCCAAGGGACAATTGACTGTGGAGAAACAAACAAGAAACACTGACTAAAGCACCACAACCATGGAACACCCTGGGGCTCTTTTTTCCCCTAAGATTTAAAAGTAGCAGAGCCTGCTTCAAGGGTTTAATTTTATCACCAGAGGTTTACTCCCAAGGGAAAACTTCAAAAAGGCACTCCTGAAAATGAACAAGAGACCTTTTTTTTTTTTAGAAAAAAAGGAAGATGCAAATTGACCAAGCTTAGAACTTATACAGTGAGGCTTTAAAATATGGGTAAAAGCTCTCATAAATCAGATCACCATGGGAAATACACAGTCAACAAAGAGAAAGCTGCTGGAAGTAAAGGATAAAACAATGAACACTTAATCTGAGGCTTGGAGATATTAAAAATTTTTTTCTCCATTATTCCTCTAAATGCTTTCCCTTATATAATTTTTTTATATTTAATTTTTATGTATGTATTTAAATTTATTTTTTATTTACTTTCCCCTTATAAAATTGTTTACCATCACAGTATCATTTCTAGAGACGAAAACCAGGCAAAGGCAGTGAGATAACAGCAGCTGTGTTAAGCGGAGTCTTGTTTCCAATTGCACGTTATTGCTTCTGAGGGCAAATCCGAGGCATCCTCAGACATAAAGATTATTTTTAAAACCTTTTGCAGGTTTGCTCTACTATTAAGTTTGGAGGGGCTCAGAAATCCTGAGGCCTGAGTTAAACTCACTGAAGAAGTTATTATCAAAGCTCTTACAGAGGGGACACTTGAAAATAGTGCCAAGGTGATTCTGGGATATTAAGTGTACAATTATTGCCTGAGTACTTAAAATGAATATCAAATCTCTCTTCCAACGTGTCAAATGATTAGTTCTGAGTTGTGCCTGAGTCAACATAGCTTCATAAACATTTTAGGTGATTCTGACACAAGAATTCTGAAGGTGACACATTGATCAAGGTCATTCCTGATCTTTTTTTAAAGTGGCTCAGAATGACGATTTTAATGTGTTTGTGATGGGTTGACTTTGTGACATTTGGAAAAACCACTAAACTCTTGGAATGCTGGTAAGAACTGCTGAGGAAAATTTTCTGGAGGGCACACACAAGCCAGGTCTGCAGAGAGATGAACTGAGACTCCTATCATCTGGTTCAGCTAAGTAGACAGATATCAGAGAAGATTCTGTCAAGTATAAATGATGATTTCTTTGGAAATAGGTTAGTACTGGTCCAGACAGTGGTAGTCTACATTAGGAGTTAAAAGTTAGGGGATGAGGGGAATGGAGAATGGGGAGTGTGACTGCTTCAAAGGTTGAAGGTATCCTTTTTCAAAACATGAAAATGTTTTAGAACTAGAGGGAGGGATGGTTGTACGCATTGTGTATGTATGTGGTGCCACTGAACTGAGTATCTTAAAATGGTTAATTTTATGTTATGTGAATTTTACCTCAATTAAAAATATAGCTAAGACTTTGGAATTTACTGCCTCAGTGGGAATCCCGCTGCACCACTTTTGGTTTTAAGGGGTAAGTTGTTAGCTTTCTGGGTTCAGTTTTCTCAGCAGGAGCGTGGGCTTAATAACCGTGGTATATCAGAGTCACAGAACAGGATTAAACACCAGGGATGCTCATCCGGCATTTAGAAGTATTCAGAAAATGTTAGCTGCTGTTATTGGAGCTACTGCTAAAAACTATGAGGCTTAAAGATCTAAAAGTAAAACTAAACTATCTAAAATAGTTTGTTGTCCTCACCAAGAGTTGTTCCTTAGTTTCTGAAGACTATATACTATATAAAGTACGGTATAGTAATAATAACAACCATACAAAGTAGCTAAATGTCTGCTCCATTTTAACACTCCTTTTTACATAGTTGTAAAATGGTTCTACCCATCTTATTTGGTCCAAAAGCCATTAAGTATTTGTAAGCACCAGGGCAAGTCTTACCACACATGCGGCCTCTCAGTACAGAGCCTGGTCTGCAAAAGAGAAAAGCCTTTTCTGTCTCCAAAGAATTGCTGTCAGCTACAAGCATTTCAGAGGCGAGCTGGAAGGAATACATTGGCTCTGTATTGAGGGTCCTTTTCAGTCGATTTGTAATAGTTTCCAAAGTCTTAATGAGTCGCTGTTGATTTTCCAATTCAAGGGTATCATTTCTTTCATCGGGTAATGGCACACTAGCTGAGATGAAAACAAAACAAAATAAAACATAACACACACATGCGGTGTTTTGGAAAGGACACTGTAGTTAGTTTTGGCCAAAAAAAAAAAAAAAAAAAAGAGGAATGCTATCTTCAAAATATTTCAGGTAAGATGAATTGAGAATAAATTTGACTACTACCCACTGAACAACTAGTACATGGCCCATATTAAGAGCAGTATAATTTGCTTTAGTCCTTTTAGATGCTGGGGTGCATTACTTTTTAAAGGAGGTTCTTCATTATAACATATTAAATCGCTGTAAATTCTTGCATTTTAGAAACATGATTATCTCATCTTGCTAAGACAAAAAATGGAGCAGGATGCCCGCTGCTGTGAGGACCATAAAAGTACATCTCTGGTATTCAATAGCAAAACAATGATGACGCTTATTTGATTGTGTTTTCCCTAATTCTCAGTTCCAAGGTTGTTTCCTACCAACGATACCTAATGAGAGATTTGAGAAATAGGTTTCCAATCCAAATGTCCACGTAACGTAATTTTTTAAAAATAAAAAGACAGCTTAGCCTTACCTGTGATATTAAAAATTAACTTAATTTTGTGGTCAGACAATGGGACGTTTCTTTTAATCCGTGAAGATCTGGCTTTGCTGACACCGGTGGGTGTTTCTTGCACAGCGTCCAAGAAATCATCATAGGAATAATCCAGCCTGTTGGCTGTGCCCCAGCCACCTGGTCCTGACAGTTGGGGCACAGAAACAAACGATCATACAGTTGCAGCCTCGTCAGTATTTAGCTTCTAATTGCTAAGGCACAAATTAAATTGCACTTGATCATTTCCTAAATCTGTCCATGACGGACCACATATGGAATTTTGTATACAACCTTCTTCTGCAATTTTTGGACACTTCCTATTTAGATAACCAGTGAATTACATGAAAAAAAGGTATCTATGAAGGTGTTTAAACATTTACACCATTCTATTTTTGAGTAAATAGTTAGTTAACTTTCCTAGATTTATAGACAAAAGGGGTTGTGGCAGAATTCTAATCAATTCCTACTTTACTTTAGGGCTCGTTTCAACTGAAAAAATATTAGTGTTGTAAACTTAATGCACATGGTTTTCCTTTTGTGGAGATTATTCATGATATTTAGATCATATTTTAAAGGTGGAGTAGTTTAAAATCAGATAGCAAACAAATTAAATGCTTATAGAATGGCCGCTGGAGGTGACGTGGGTATGTGGGATTCCCTAGACATGTTTAGTGTCATTGGGATTAACTACCAGGGTTCATATTGTAACTTCTTGACATATGGTGTACGGTTGTATAATTTTAATCAAACCACTATCATCTTGCTGAACCTCAGTTCCTTCACTTACAAATAGAGATGAGTCTTACGAACGAGGCATAGATGAGACAATACGGTATATACAAACCATCTGGCTAAGTATTTGACTCATTATAAAACCTCAATAAGTTTTAACAATTAATATTGTCCTGATGCTTATATGCTTTGAATAATAATTATATTCATATAGTCTTTCCACTTAAGTAAATGGCTTTCAAAATTTGTTTGGCTATATTGATGCTTTTGGCTATTAAAAAATGAAGAGGGATCATATTTTTGTCATTTCCCTTAAACATTTTCCCTACAAGTATTACATAGCTGTCACAGGGGAAAAATGCTAATACCGTACTTAGAGAGAGCTTTAATAAAAAGGACATCTGAAAATTTCACTTATATTGGACTTAATTGAATATTAACATTCTCTTGATGAGGACTATAAATATTACGTATATTTAATTTTAGAATTAATGGTTTGATTGCAATGTCGGTTGAATGGTGTATAAAAAGTTCTGCTTTACAACTATTGCAATTGGTGTATAAAAAGTCCTACTTTACAACTATTGCGATTCTCTTCTTCTATGATATCATATCACTATTTGAATTTTGACATTCCAGTGTGGTTCCGTTTTTGTTATCCTCAAGACTTTTGACTACTACTTTGAAATCATTTACCTGGTCCTAAAATTTAGTTGATCTATAATGATCAATTCATACAGCTATCCTAAAATATTTGGTGAATAAGTTAATAAAAATTAAATTTTCTAGTTTGTTCCATTCTTCTGGAACTGTTTTGTTATATAGATAAATCTGGCCAACCACTGACACTAAATGATGCAATTACCAATTGCAAAGCCATTTTCATAGTCATAATTATATTCCAGGCAATATTTTTTGGTCAGGTCCTCCAGCTTACAATCAATGTCCTCATCATCACTACAAAATGTTGGGACCTGCAAACAAAAAAGGAAGATGATAAAATGAGAATGACGTCGCTGTTGGAGGAGCCCTTTGCATTAACAGGAGTGGAGTGAGAGCCCCGAGCTCCTCGTGCTCCTAAAAGGTCTCCTGACATCCCCACTTCCCCACCTGCTAGTGACCACCAGGGTCAGCCTCATACCTTTTATCTACGTCTATCACCACAAACAGCCCAGAACTCTGGTGAGAGCTCTGCCCCTAGACGTTTACCTGGTATGGCTCTTCAGTCCCGTTCTCTGGCTCTGTCTCTCACTTGCACTGAGACCCTAAATCTTCCTCTGTGCCCTCTGAAGCGCACAGCCAGTGAAAGGTAAATCTCTTGTTATTTCCCACCTCCACTGTTTTTGTTCCCTTTAACTGTGCTCCAAGTGAAACCCAGTCTTCCAGTTTTCTGGATTATTTTCTAAAAAATGATTCTGAAAGCACAAGAGATTCTGGCATCCTGGAATTAATCCTGGGTAGTTCTGGAAGCGGAGGGATTGGCCTTCTCATTCTCCAGTGGCACTTCCAGGTCACACTGCCTCACTCCTTAAAGCCTCCACCACCTCTGAAGTTCTGAAGCACATGTCACCAACTATACACTTGTTGTACCTCTTGTAGCAGTTTCCCAGTCCGAGACACCATCTCATTCCTTACCCATCTTTCTGTCTAGTTGATGCCTCAGCTCCTTTTCCCCATCTCTCTTGCTTCCCAGCTTACTCTGGTCAGACCCTCGGGACTTGTCACCACAGCAGCAGCACCCTCTCCTACAATTCTCTGGCTTCATAAGGGGTTGTAATCCATCAACCCTGCTGCCTCTCCACTGTCCTCAGCCTGCATGTCTTCATCTTCTTTTCCATCTCAGAGTCCATGGGCCATCAGCATGGAACACCTCCTCCCTGAGTGAACGCCTGCTTCTCAATCTGTTTGCCAAGAGAACCTCTACATCTGGCTACAGAAACTACTGCTTCCTCCACTCCTGTCCTCAGGTGGTCAATAGTATCTTGAGGGAAAACACAACCCTACCCTCTGCCAAGCTTACTACGTCTCTTCCGTATTTCATTAACACTCTCTTAGAAAATTATTTTACACCATCTTCGCTCCTCTCAAACTTCCACCATGTACTGCACAGCCCTACTCATGGTGATTGCTTTTCCCACTGGTAACACTGAAGCCAGAAAAGACCTTTCACACAAACCCACCATGAGTACCCACTGCTGGCCCCATGGTCTTGTGTACCCTGCCTTCCTGACTCACAGCCTGCAGTCTGCATCCAATCTGTCAGCGAGTCTTACTAAATCTACCTTAAGGCACCTCCAAATCCATTCTCCTCTCATCACATCCAGTACAGCCCAAGCCACATCATCTCCTACTTTGCCTTTTTACACTCTCCCGCCCTCTGCTTCTCCCACTGCCCAAGATCATAAGAAAGTTGGTCCCTTTAAATGACTTTCTTACTTACACTAAAAGGCAAAGTCTTTACAGTGACTTTCAAGGCTTTCCCGTTTCATTTCTCTTCTCACCCCTACCTTCTCTGTCCTTTGATCTCTCTGACTATTTCTTATCACTCATTATCCTCTCTACTCCTACCACTCTGACCACTTTATCATTTTTAAGTGCCTATAGTCCTGCGAAGGGACCTTTGCACTTGCTGACTCTTCTGCCCGGAATGTTCTTCTCTTACATATGGCAGTGGCTCATGGCCTCATTCCTTTGGGTCTCTTGTCAAACAGGAAACTTATTAGTGAGGTTTTCCCATTTTTTTACTTTATGTCATTCCATAGTACTATACCTTCTGGCACACTACATATTTTCCTTGTAATTTCTTTATTGTTTATCTACTTGTTAGCATGTAAATTCTACAAGGACACATAGTTTTGACAGTTTCATTCACATTTAAATCCCTAGTGTCTAGAACGTAACACAGACACTAAATATTTAATAACTATTTAGTAGCATATTCTGGCCCAATTAATAGCACATTCTAGCCCATTATATCATTTTTAACCTGCTACCAACTTAACTGACTCTAACACACATAAAAGTCACTTTCACATAATTTTCACGTGGCCTCTATTTTTAAAAATTTAATAAGTACTTCATCAGTTTGGGATAGACTATAATAAATATGAGTATATGGTTGCCTTTTAAAGTATTGACCTATAATAGTAGTGGCCTACTTAAGTGCAATAATTTTTTGGTTTCCTAGTGATAATGTTAATTTTTTCTCCTTTTAGAATTTGGTTTTACAGAATCAATTTAAATACAACTTCTTAAAAGAAGTGTTTATTTGGATGGATGCCAGCTAATACCTTTAATATATTTATAACAATATGTGGTCCATGTCAAACAGTACTATAAAATACTTATCAACAAATAAAATGCTACCCTCTCTGTCAGGTATACAAATATGTATATAGCATGTCTCCTGTCTGCAAGATATTCACTACATTTAAATATATTGCTGTGTTTTCTCATAATTGGTGAAAGAAACCCCAACAAAAACACATGAGCACGAAAATAGTGTTATTGTCTAATTACCTCCTCATCATAAAAAATAAAATCTATGATATTTGAAATTTTTGTCAGACTAAGTAATCAAATAGCATTCTTTTTTTTTTTTTTTTTTTTGGTTTTTCTCTGGTACCGGGAACTGAACTCACGACCTTGCGCTTGCCAGGCAGGCGCTTTGCCGCTGAGCTAAATCCCCAGCCCCTTCAAATAGCATTCTTAAGCCACACAGATTGTAACCTTATCTGACTTTCTGGCTTACAGTGCTTTGAAAAATTAACATGCAGAAATACTTTTAATTTATTCCAGAACCCCGAAATCCACAAATAATTCTAAAAATTAGGCACAACTTTGGATCACAAAAAAGAAGAGGGACATAATCGGGGTAGGAATTTCAGTTACAAGGGATGTGCAGAAGCTATGATGACCTTTAAAACATGAAATACAGCAAAGGACCGCCCGTGACATACCATTTTCCCCAGAGTAGTTTCAAATGCTTCAGAAAACTTTTTCAACAGATCCATGTCATCACAGCGAGTGGCTTTGTACAACATTTCAAAGGACTTGAACCCATGGTTTGCAAAACGTTTTACTGGAAAATGTTGTGTAGAAAAGCTTCAATTAGTGTTTTCAAAACAAATTAACTTTAGTGTTTTCAAAACAAATTAACTTTGATACAGTAATCAAAACCTAAAAATTTAACTCTAACATGATTTGTGAGGCTGTTGGAAAAACAAAAGGTGACACTTAAGTAAGGTTTCTAAGACATTACTTCATCATAATAAACTACAAACCAAGCAGTACTGTAGTCAGTTACTTAGGGATGAGTTTGCTTGTAATATATTATTCTTTACCTTCCAATCAGATAAAATAGTAAGTATTTGACGGAATGAGGGATCTTCTAATCCTGGCTAGATCAAAGTTATTTTATTTTATATGAATCTATATAAAATCTATATCACACATTAATATGATATGTATATAACATACCCACATATATGTATATATACATATATAATATACACACATATCTTTATGTTAAATCAGCAACTATTAAAAAACTTCTAAATATTATGTGCAATTGTGTTCCTTGAAGGTGTAGTTTCTGTAAAGACAAATTTCTTCTTTGATCAAAAGCTCTCATTGCTAGATTTTAACAAGCTGTTCCAAAATATTCAGAGGCCATGCTTCCTAATAATATCCACGCTCTTGTCTAGATTATGAAAGTAAGTATGTTGCTTCTATTTACTTCTCTAATTTGGAAAAAAATTAACTCAAGTAAGCCCGCTTTGTCTTCTGAAAACATGACATTAGTATTTAAACTCTATTTACGGCTTTAGAGCAAAGGTTTACTCCAGAGAATATACACCCTAGACAAAGATACTGGGTTAAAAATGTAATGACAACATCTATTTTGGGTTATGTTGTCATACAATTTAAAATCTAAATAAAATCTAAAAAGAATGCAACTGATTTATTTTATTCTACCACTTATGTTGGCTATGAAGTTAAATGTAAGTGAATCTCTGGACCACGAGACTTTAAGTTCATGTTTACAAGTCAAGAGCTACATGCTGAAAAACCTCTTAAGTTATTTCTGGTAAATAATAAGAGAACCAAAATGCTTGTGCTTTCTCATTGCAATCCAATTAGTAGCAAGACTTTAAATCCAAGGAAAAGCAAATTACTTACTCATAAATCACTTACTCATCTCCATTAATTACTACTGTAGGGCAAGCTTCCTCTTTAACACATGAGAATACACAAGCACAAGCCCAAACACATTCACATCCATTAAGAGGGCCCAGGATAAAATTAAAACTTACTAGCACAGTCTGGCCATTCAGTAGAATATGGTGGTTTCCAGACACCGTCTTCATAAGCACAATAATACTTCTCCATAGACCCTTCTGTGAAATCATAGCCCTCCAGGCAACTTAATGTACAGTTAACTCCAGCACTGTCTTGGGTACAAATAAAATCCCCATTTGTAGGTGTGAAGGGAACTTCACAGGGAGAGCCTGTATTAAAACAACACTGTATTATTTGTCTGCGGTACTAGAAGTATAGATTAAATTCCAGTATCTTACGCTGAAATTTTAAAAGAACTCCTTCTATCACTAGTTCTAGGGAAAATTCCACCTGAAGTTCTTGGTGTAGAAGAGTGGCAGTGTCTGCATTTTGGTTCCTACTTGAGCACACACTGAAAAATTGTGCCTTTGTGTAATTAAGTATTCTGCATATTTTATAAAAACTAAAATATTTTATGTCTTGGGATTATTATATCTGGATTCCTTTGACAAAAATGAAAACTGAGTAACATTCTACAGCAAGACATTGTCAGAATCCATCTCCTCAAACACTCAAAATTGGATCCTTGCCGGGCGTTGTGGCGCATGTCTGTAAACCCAGCACTCCGGAGGCTGAGGCAGGAGGATCGTTGAGAGTTTGAGACCAGCCTGGGCTACAAAGTGAGCTCAAGGCCAGCCTGAACTCCATAGCAAGACTCTGTCTCCAAATCACACAAAAAATTAGATCTTTGATAATGCTTGGTAACTTCAGAGAAAAGATTAATGAAATGATAAACACTGCCTATAAGAAAATATTTCCATTTATCATGATGTTAAGAATGATAGCCAGAAACTTAAATAAAATCTGTCAGGTACTTCATTCTAACTTGAAAAATCTAATGCTCATAGCCTATCTTCTTTCACAAAATCGGGAATTGTAGTGGTCACATATATGGAACGTCTGCTAGATTCTTGAGATCTCATAAAGAGAATACCTTTTATGACAATGCGGATGTCACATGTTCTGTTATTGCCCGAGGGGTCTGTGGCTGTATACTTCACGATGGTCTCCCCATGAGGAAAAAGGTCTCCTTGTGTGTGACTTTTTGTGATCACCAAGATGGCACCTAGAAGATACAATTTTTGAGTTATATCAGCCTTCTGTAACTTTATGAGTCTTTGATTTGAAGTCTTCCTTTCTATTTATGCAAATCAGCTGGGCATCCCATTTATGTTGAGTTGCCTGGTAGCAGAAAAGGAAAGATTTAATATTTATGCTATGACACAGAAATGGTAGGTTCAGACCCCATTAAATGAAGGCATTTCTGCTAAACTAATTATTTTCATTTCAACTGGTCAGTTGGAACATTAGAAACAATTAAGAAATCTATCTAGTTTACATTTTTGTTGCTATTTTCTGGGTTTCAGGGAAACTTTTAAAGTGAACTTCAGTTGTATTTGCTCGTTTTTTCTACCTTCCTATGTATACCCTTCTATAATTTATTTAGCTAATGTTTAAGGACTGAGGCTGAATATACAGAACTGGATTAGAGATACTAGGAAATGCATGATTTATATTTTCAGAACATTGTGAGCTTAGAGATCTATAAATTCATTAGAACACATTTAAGTACAACATTTAGCAAAGGTTTAATAAATGTCCATTGACTACTGAATAAAGAGAAACCCCATGGGTACTCCATGGGTAGGTAAGAGTAATACTGTTAAATATTTACAAGCATTGATGCATTACTTTATATAACCATTCATTTAACTTTGAGAGCTATTATTTGCGTATTTCTTTTATCCTTTAGAAAAGCTTTTTAAAAATAAAACATAATTTAGCATTACCACACTGATACCAAAAGCTTTGTATTCTCACCTGAGTTGTCTGAGAACTGAGGCTCATCCCAGCTGGCAAGATGTTCCTTCTCTGAGACCTGGATTGGAGGTGGGGACCTGCACCGGTCTATGACAGGTGGCTCTACATCTAAAATACATGACAGCAGACAAACAAGTCACAACTGACCTGCAAAAATTCTGCAAGAGAAAACTGAAGTCTGAGTGTGCTGGCAGAGAACCTTGACCTTCTAAGAAATAATGCGGATCCTGTGGCTCCTTTGACAATAAGGTATGTCTTAGCCCTGATCCTGACATCAAAAGAAAGAGCTGATTTCTGCCCTCTATCTGTTGAAGAAGAAATAACCAGGTTATTAAAACTATTGTGAGCTTTTCTGTGTGAAAAGTGTTGTAGATGTGATGGGCACTGAATTTGTAGGTTCTGGCCACAGTAGTTGAGCTGGCCCATCCTTTCCTCAGATAAACTGAAGCAGTGAAATAGTCACTTCAATGATCCATGACTGTTCTCTGGTCTGACAGGTCAAGGTAAGGTTTTCAGTTGATGAAGTAGAAGTTCTAGGGGACAGAGATCTGAGTCCTATGACAGAATAAGCAAGACATTAAGGGAGAGCAAGATATTCTGGAAGGCTAGGAGGTCACATCCAAAGGTGGGAAACTGGAGTTCAAGATATGTAAGGCTGATAAATTCTAGGCAAAGACAAAGGGTAAGGTGTGGACCTAGAAGCAAGGAAATGGAAATGGGATGAAAGGCATAGTAGAAATAAAGAAGCCTGAGTCGGTGCTGCTGAAAGCTGAAATTCAGGTTGAAGGGTAGATCTGAGATTGAACGGGTGAGCCAGGTTTCAAAGCCCTTATTGAATGTGGTATAATGTTTAGATGTCAGTAAAAGATAACAAAGAAGATGTACAGGAAGTAATTTTAATACAAGTATAGATTTTACACATTTGAAGTGTTCTTATTATGTGATACCTTTGAAGTAATGAAGAAAATAAGACAAATATTATTATCCTAACTTTACAGGTGAGGAGTCCAGACTAGGCAAATTTAAGGCATCTTGCCTGAGATCATTAAGCTGGTAAACAGGCTCCAAGAGTGGCCTATAGAGTTTACAATCCCAGTTCTCCATGTATCACATCTTGACAGTAGGCACTGGGTGTCTACTGAGTGACTGATGTAAAAGGACTGAGTGGGAGATGCTACAAGAAACCATCTTCATCTTTTCCCTGCCCAAGGACTGATCTACAGTAGTGGTTGTGAGAATGGAGAGACAAAGATTCCAGCCATATTTAGCGAGTGAAACCAGGAGAACCTGATAAATTTACAGGATGTTGCTGATGGAGAAAAAGTCAAATCACTCGTAGGTTTTTGCTTGGTAGCTGTCTGGTCAGTTATACAATTTTCTGAGCTAACCAATATAGTATGTTTGAGTTGAGTTTGAAATGCCTGTGATATATCCCTCATGCGAAAGCCCAGGAGGTTGTTTTACATTTAGGTTTTGATTTCAGGAAAGAAGTCTGAGTTGCAGGTAGAGACCTGGGAGTTGTCAGAGAAAGAAAGGGCCAAGTCCAAGGCTGCAACCTTGGCGATGTGGTGGGAAAACAACATGTGACAGCTGGTGTGAAAAAGAGAAGCTCAGAGAAGAGGAAGAGGATGGTGGGGAGAAAAACGGGGGGAAATAAGAAATACTGGTGCCAGAGAAACTAGGAAAAGAGAAAGTTTTGGTTAAAAGAATGTGGTTAAGATAAAATCTGAGGGAAGATTACGTGAAATAAGGACTGAAAAGTGTGCAGTTGGAATAATACCTGAGATCACTGGTGACCTTTATATGAGTGACGAGAAGCCAGACTTGAGTGACTCAGAATAAATGGCAGGTAAGAAAACACCATGGCAACCATCAAAAACTTTTCAAGAGGCTCTTATGGGAAGAAATCAAAGAAGTGCAGTGATAGTTAAAGGACATGTAGGTTTCTCAGCCGGAGTGGTCTGAGCAGGTTTCAATGCCAGGAGGAGCAATCAATGCAAAGGAAGTTATTGAAGCTGAAGGAAAGGCCAAGTCCTGGGGTGCTGGATAATGTTTGCAAACCCATGTACGTGATTTGAAGACTTACCAATGACCTTGATGTGGAAGGTGCAGGTGGCTTGATTGCCGGATGAATCAGTTGCTGTGTATGTGATGGCCACATCTCCAATTGGGAAAAGGTAAGGCGGGGTAAAAGGTGGATGAACGTGGAGTGACACCTTAAAGTTAATGTAAAAAACACATTTATTCTCCTTCAGGTTATATATTATTAGCGAGGTGATATTAAAAATGGTACAGTATTTCATATAGGGAAAAATGCATCACAGCTTTCTACTGTATATTTTCCCAAACTACTTACATAATTTATAGTGTTGGTACCTGTATTAAATATTGTCCCATGTTTCTTGAACATAATGCCTTAAAATATTTTTTATGCTTTTACATAGTCTTTAAAGCTTAAGATGTCTCTATAACTTTCAAATGTCTCCATAATTTTCTGTAGTATATATGATCACTTAAGAAAAATCTGTTGAAAAACATGAGTTTCTTCCCCAATTTTTACTCTTGTAAATAGTTCTGGGATGGAACGTTTTGGATAGATAATTTAAAAACACTTTCATTGTTTCCTAGATTTCCATGAACAGAATTAACCCCAAACCATTAACATTTAATTCACAGATAATACAAAATTTCTGTCCCAAAGTATAGTAACAATTTGCATTCTCATTATCAATGGCCATATTGCCAGTGTCAAAGTTCCCTGATCTATATTAAATAGCATCACTTCTTGGGAAACTAAAAGTATGACACTAAGTCACCTTTCTCTGTGTGTGTGTGTGTGTGTGTGTGTGTGTGTGTGTGTGTGTGTGTGTATGATTCCGGAGAATCCAGCTCAGGGTCTCATACATGCTAGACAAGTGCTTTATCACTGAGCTACATCCTAAGCCTGTTTCTTTCTTTTATTTTTAATTGGTGCATGAAGAGTTATATGAAATACTGAGATTCATTTTGGTATATTGATATATGCATATAAGATATTTTGATTATTTTCATTCTTTTTCCCATCTATAAAAGCCTACCCTTGCAGTTTCCTATCATAGTTCCTCTATTTTTATTCTATTTATTTTTAAATTTCTCATATTAAGAGATAATATATGATATTTAACTTTCTGAGACTCATTTATTTCCCTTAACTTTATGGCCTCTAGTTCTATTCATTTTCTGCAAATCATGAATTACATTTTTCTTTCTGGCTGAATAATATGCTACTGCATACATGCTTGTATCACACTGTCTTTATCTGTTCCTCTATTTGTGGGCATCTAGGCTATTTCCATAGCTTAGCTATTGCGAATTGTGCCACTATAGACATGAGTATGCATATATCTCTATATATCTCACCACCAGTTTCTTAATGTCTTATGCCAAGATTAAGCTCTCATATGTCTGAATTATGTTACAGTATATTTTTTTAAACTATATTTTTATCTTCATCCATTTTGAAATTGTGATGTAATAAAATCGTATTAGCTTGTTATGTCATGGACATTGTAACTTGTGACAAATTTAAAATATTTTCACTGGTAGTGGTTTTTTAACTAAGAAATTTTTAGAAATACAGACTCACAAGTACTTACATAGTCAAATGTATTTCATTTCCACTGTATTTTTAAAACGTTCTTCAAACAAGGTTAGAAAGCCATTCATGAAGTGATTTGATAAACATCTAAATATATTTGATGGTATATTTTTAATGATTTTAAAAATAACTTGGAAGTGAATTTTGTGTGTGTTATGATCTGAGAATATAGCATCACATTTTAAAAATCAACCATCATTTCCCCTCGTGACATTTTAGAATCCATGAATGCGTTAGTTCTTCATTATGGTGTGGTACCACATATTTTATTTATTTTTATTTTGTGAAATAGTTTGGTTTGGGGGTTTTGATAGTTTTTGTCCCTCATTCATGTGTGTGTGTGTGTGTGTTTGTGTGTGTACATGAGACAGAACTGAGGGCTTTGCACATCCACGAATACACTCTGACACTGAGCTATACTTGGTCCTCTTTATCTAATTCTTTTTGATATTTCAATCAGTATATTATTCCACTTCACACTCAGAATAACATTGTTTCAAAAATATTGTGCTGAAAGTGTCTTTGGCATACATTTATTCTATAGATATTTAGCTTTTCCGTTTATAAATATGCCATGTTTTCATTTGATTTCATTATTTTAATCTGTAAATGTTTCATATTTTCCTTTAATTTCCATTCACCTTTCTTATTAAGTCCTGCATATTTTGCACTGTGTCTTGTACTCTCAGTAGAATAGCCTATTAGACACCACTATATCCTACATAATGGTGTCTGTAGGGGTATGAATTTATGTCTGGGTATTCAATACACATAGTTCCAGGAAGTCAAAATATTAAAAACGTAAGTTTAAAAGATTCATCTGGGACACAAAAGAAAAACCTAGAATGCTAATCATGGGATAGATAACAGATAGGGAAGACAGTAAGTAGATATAACGTATGAGTAACTGTTGTTCTTGAACATAGAATGGATGAGGACTGGGGATATAACCTAGTGGCACAAGCGCCTGCCTGAAAATAGAATGAATGAATGGAACATGAAAAATACTCAAAGTTGTAGAAGAAAATTTGGAGCTAAAGAAAGATATGACTACAGATAAAAAAGGACTCGACGTATCAGCAGAATCCATGCAGAATAATTAACACCTAAGCAGATTGTAAATAATTTAATGTATAATCAAAGAATCCCACAGTATCTGGGAAAATGCTAAAAGAGGGGGGATAAGAAACGTACATCAAATTTTCTTAGTCATTAAATGCCTGTCTGGACATAAAAGACATTCTTGTACATGCAGAGGCTCAGTAGACATGCTGCCCCTGTATACGTTTTTTCTGAAGGAAAGAATTTTCAACATGACAAACAGGAGATGAATCACAATAAATCCTTACAAGTGGAGAAGTCAGAGTATGAAAGAACTGCCAGCAAATGCCAGAAACATATAAATACAGACTTATCCTGAAATGGTTATAAATGTGGCTACAAAACAGACATCAAAGGTTATAATTTGCTGTATAATATACATATAAACTAATAATTAACCAATAATAAACTGAAATAAAAATCCCAGAGCATACCAACAAAACCCAAAGTAGCTGAAAAGTTAAAGTAATAATTTACTCATTTTACTTAGGGAGAGACCCAACAGATAGTCTTGTTTTTCCCCCCACAGAAAATTAGGTAATTATTAGTTTATGCATGCTTTACAACTTTACTTAAATTCGTCTATATACATAATGGAAGCTACATTCCCAAAGCTGAAGTGTATATATGGTAAGTAATATCATATTCTTTTTTTTTTTTTTTTTTGGTCTTTTTGAGACAGGGTCTCACTGTGCAGTTCAGGCTGGCCTTGAGCTCATTTTATAGCCCAGGCTGGTCTCAAACTCGCAATGATCCTCCTGCCTCAGCCTCCCGAGTGCTGGTATTACGGGCGTGCACCACCATGCCTGGCAGTAATGTCGTATTCTAAAGAGAGCCCCTGCAGATGAACGAATTATTAAAAGGTTGACATTTAAGTGGCCGGAATGGTCCTGCACCCCCAGCCTCACCATCAGCCATATTAACAGACTTTGATGAAATCGGAGTACTCACTTGCGCAGGTGCCAGAACCTCCTCCCTCTCTCCCCCATGGGAAAATGACCACCTCAGATCAAATGGCCGGGCTTCGGACAAGCCCTCACAGAACGTGGGAGGGCAGGGTGCCTGCATAAAGCAGAGACCAGCTTCCTACTCCCAGGCCGGAGGCCTGCTGGCACAGAAACCCACAGATTCACCCTCACGTGGTGAGAGCTGGGTGAGATTGACACCCATCCCTTGGAGTTTAGAGACATATATGAATGTGGACAGATGCCTGCTTCTCCCCTCGTGAAGGCTGAAGGCAGGAAGCTTGATCAAACAATACAGGCAGTATAGGAGGAGAGACGCTGTGGTCATGGGTTGGCTTGCACTGGTTAGCCTGCACTCCCATTCTTTGGCATGGTGAAAGCAGGCAGGCCAATGGAGAGGGGGTGGGGTGCTTGAGTCATTTTGCCTGTATCCCATTGTAGAGGTTTTCAGAAGTTGTGAGCTGCATCACAGGGCCCGGAGCAGAGGGCGTTTGCAACAGGGGGCCTACCAGAGTGCATCTCCATGGCAGCAAACTGTACGGGGAAGAGGGTGTGCCCCGTGAGGTCTCCTGCAGAATCTATATATGGACTGGATTTATATCTCAGGGCACATCAGCAATATAGAGAGGACTTCCCAGCATTAGCTAAATGAAAGACTCAAAACCATCCTCAAAAATACACTCTTCCCAGCTGTGTTCATTTCCTACCGTTATCATAATAAATTCTTCTAAATTTTGCAGTTTCACAAAATAAAAATTTACTCTAGCAATCCTATAGGTCAGAGTACTGATGCATCTTACAGGGTTAAAACCAAGACATTAGCAGAGCTGAACCTGTTTCCTCCCCTTTTCTAGCCTCTGGAGACTGCCTGAGCGGCCCCTTCTGCAGCTGCTAGCACCATCAGCGGCCAGTATAGTCCTTTCACCTCACATCTCTAATCCTGTGGTCATAGCATCTCTCTCTAACCAGAGTTGGGAAAGATACTCCTTTTTTAAGGACTAAGATGATTCAATTGCATTGACTTGGACTACAAAGGCTCATCTTCCCATCTCAAAATCTTTACTTAGGTCTGTAAAGTTCCTTTGCCATACAAGGAAACATATTCATAGGTTCTGGAAAATAGGATAAGGAGATGCTCAGGGTGGACATCAATCTGCTTCTCACACAGGCTCTGATCCTAAAGATGCCAGAACAGGGATGGGAAGGCACAGAGAGAAACTAAAGAGTGTCCACCACTCTTCCTTCCCAAGTCACTCAGGCCAGCTCTGGGCTGCAGAAGAAAAAGAAAAAAGCTTTGAAGTAGATACAGGATTCAAGTTTTTATTTAGATAGCAAAATTCTTCATTTTAATCCAAGAAAGTGGGTTTAATTACAGAGAAACCGTTTGTATAACCCAAAGTAACAAAAACATCTGACTAAGGAAAAACTGTTATTTTCTACTGATGCTTGTTCATAACGAGTCACACAATTGTAGTTTTGATCATACTGTACAGGCAATTTAGTGTCCTATTTTTCCACCAAGAAATTTCCCTGTTTTGCAAAGTGTCATAGGAAATAATTGGAGCTAAGAGCAAAGATTTAGTGCAATGATGTTTACAGCAGTTTCATTAGCTCTTTCTTTTCTTACTTTAGTTTGAATTCACATTTTATGTTCTATTATTACATTTAACTTTTTTGCAATAATCTAAAATACTTTGCCTCTCTTTGTTTTTTTAATATTCTGTATTCTAGAGAAACCCAATTACCTTCCATTTTTGTGTCAGTACCAGAGATTCACACACTGCAGAAATTCATATACTGAAAAAGTTCATACACTAAAGAAATTCACACAGTAATGTGGAGTAATCTCTACAAATTTATGACCGCCAAAACTCAAAAGGGCCCACAATACTATTCACTAATCATACTATGGCCTCTGGTCTGCTCCTAAGCATGCTGTTATCAAGTATTCACACTGCTATTTCTCTGTTCTACTCAGAATGACCTTTTCAAAAGTTTTCAACTCTCCCCAAAACTCACTCACTCACTCTGGCTAATCCTTCTAATTCCCCGTTTTCTGACCAGGAGCCATACACAATCTTGTCTCCTCTTTTCCATTTATATTTAGCTTCTTTAACTCCACTGGTTCTCTCCATTTCTGTTTCGGTTCCCTTAGGGACATCTAAATTTTCCCCATTGTAGTTCTCCTGAATAATGGTCCCCCAAAGATGCTTGTGTCTTAATCCCTGGAACCTGTGATTATGTCACCTTACAGGGCAAAGGGACTTAGCATATATGACTAAATTAAAAATCTTGGCATGAGGAGATTATTCTCAGTAGTACAGTTGGGCTCGATGTAACCACAAAGCTCCTTATAAAAGGGAGGTAGGGCGGTCAGAGAGAGAAGATGACGTGGTGATGGAGACAGACAACAGAGTGATGCATCCATAGCCCAAGAAATGAAGTGGCTTCTGAAGTTAAAAAAGGCCAAGAAAGGATTCTCTCCCTGAATCTTCAAAAGAAATGGGTACATGAGTTCAGGCTGCGTGCCCAGCTGCCCAAGAACCTTACCAACTTGCAGGGTCCACACAATCTTCCGTCCTGTTAGCCTAAAGGTAAGGGCATTCTGTTGGTCTAGCATCTCCCACTCCACGAAATCAGATAAGTTCTGCATTGGTTTTCATCATCTTTCATCAGTTTGGTTCCTTGTTTTTGCATTCTTTTCATAATTTCTGTCAGGATTGAATACTGGTGGCCTTAGGTGCCTGTGCTCATTTCTTCAATGATTTATGGTGGTTTTGATTCACAAATGGTTTTAACCATTCAGCCCATCTACTAGAATATCTTGTTTATTACATTTTTACAGTCTCAGAGAAAAAGAAAACCAACAAGTAAAAATGTCCCTCAATCTATTGTCACCATCCGATTTGCCCTTATTCCCTTTTTTTCTACAATGAACATGAAAGACATTGCTCTTCTCAAGTTCAACTTGCATTTTCCTTGACCCTGGTCTCCCTCCCCTGTCTTCAGAAGGACCGCATTTGATTCATTTTCTCTCCTCCTTTATCATTTTTTTGTCTCCAGTAGGTCTCTTCTGTCATCCATTAAGCATGTTAAATATCTTTTGTGTTAGAAAACAAACCACATCCCTCATTCTACAGGAATTGTCATCTTTCTCTTCTTCACAGTTAGTTTCTTTGAAGAGAATTCTACATTCCTTAACCAACTGTGATCTGTTTTTTCCACACTCTATTAAAACAGATATCATTAAGGTCACTATTCAGTTTCTGGATTCTAAATCTAATTTACATCTTTCAGTCTGGTATAACTGAGCTGTAGTCTAGTGTACGACATAGTTGACCAATTTTTTGGAATGCAAAGCTTTCTTAGTTGTATGATGGTACCCTTCTCTAATACTTGCTTTCCCTGATGTCTCATCATATGGTGCCTCATCCCCCCATTCCTTGCTCTTTCTCAGGTTTTAATCTCTGTCACTTTTAATCTACACACCCTCCCTGGGCAATCTCATCCACTCCAGGGCCCTCAGATACACTCTGTATGCTGACAATCTGAACAGCACCCATCCTAATATTGCACTGCTTCTCCGTGGCTCTGTTTGAGTTGGGTGGGAGACTTTCACCCAGCCACTGTGTTTATGAACATGGGCCATAGAATAGATGAGCCATGGATTCTCAGGTTGTTGCTTGGTCTTCCACAAGCATGTGGAGTATGTGGAAGCCCATAAGCAAAAGCAGGCACTGTCTCCTTGCAACCCCTGCCTCCCATATCTATTCTTGTCATCTGTGCAGAGCTTTTCTAGAATGAATAACACATTCTGGGATTACACATTCACAGAAAATTCCCAGTGTTCTTCTAGCTATTCTTTGCTGTAGAAGTTGAAATGTTTGAGTCAAGTGACAAAAAAGGAGATTACTGTGCTGGTGAGTTGGGGTCAGGTACTGGATAGAATTTGAACTGCATGAATTGTGCCCAAGGAATGAATGCAAGAAAAGGAGTTTCTGGTTGGGAGAAGCAGAGACAAAAACTCCAAGTAACTAAGATTGATTCTAGGTCTTCCTTCTTTCCTCCTTCCTTTCCTTTCCTTTCCTTTCCTTTCCTTTCCTTTCCTT